CAGCATCTAGTTGAAAACAATCTCTTTCCACCTGAGCAGAAAGGAAACCGCCCCAATAGCAGAGGAACAAAAGATCAACTCCTAATAGACAAAATGATCTTGAAAAACTGCAAGAAAAGGAAGACCAACCTGAATGTGGCATGGATTGACTACAAAAAGGCATTTGACTCTCTGCCACATGATTGGATAATAAAGTGCCTAGAAATAACAGGAGTCAGTAGAAACGTCAGAAAATTTGTGCAAAGATCGATGGCACAATGGAAGACACAGTTGCAGATCAATGGTGAGAGGCTGGGAGAGGTTAATATCAAGAGAGGAATATTTCAAGGAGATTCATTATCACCATTACTATTTGTTATTGCACTGTTTCCTCTGTCACCAATACTGAATAACTCAGGACATGGCTATCAAACATCAAAAACATCTGCCAGACTATCCCATCTCCTTTACATGGATGATCTGAAGCTGTATGGAAAAACATCATCTGAAATAGAATTGCTGCTCAACACTGTCCGTATATATAGCCAAGATATTGTTATGGAGTTTGGCTTGGACAAATGTGCCACACTTACTATCAAACAAGGAAAAATAGTGAAAACTGAAGGAATCAAGATGCCCCACGAAAATAACACTAAGAGTATAGATGAGGAAGATTACTACAAATACTTGGGTATCCTTCAAGCTGACAACATCAAGCACACTGAAGTCAAGAAAAAGATTAGAGGTGAATACATCAAGAGAGTAAAGAAGATCTTAAAGTCCAAACTCAATGGAGAAAATACCATAAAGGCAATCAACACCTGGGCAATTCCAGTCATTAGGTACACAGCTGGAATAGTGGACTGGACTCAAGCAGAACTAAAAGCAATGGATAGAAAGACCAGAAAAATAATGACAATGAATCATGCTCTTCATCCATGCAGCGACATTGACAGACTTTATCTACCAAGGCAAATAGGTGGGCGTGGAATGCTACAAGTACATCAGATGGTTGAAGAAGAAGAAATGGCTTTGGAAGAATATCTGAAGAACAATGATGAAGATGCACTGAAATTAATATATCAGGAAGACTACTGGAGAGACCAAACTGGCCTACTAGAAAGAACAAATGAAGAACAGAATAGGAGCATGGGAAGACAAAGCACTACATGGCCAATACATTAAAAAAATAGTTGGGAAAGCAGATAATAACAAGACCTGGCAATGGCTAAGAGCAGGAAAATTGAAGAAAGAGACCGAGGGACTAATTCTGGCTGCACAAGACCAAGCCTTAAGGACAAATGCATATAAAGTCAAAATTGAGAAGACAGCAACAGACAGTAAGTGTTGCCTATGCAAAGAAGCTGAAGAAACAGTGGACCACCTGGTAAGCTGTTGCAAGAAGATTGCACAGACTGACTACAAGCAGCGGCATGAGTACAATAGCAACAATGGTGCATTGGAAGATCTGCAAAAAATATCATTTGCCTGTAAGCAAAAACTGGTGGGATCATAAAATAGAGAAAGTCATAGAAAATGATAAAATTAAACTGCTCTGGGACTTCAGAATTCAAACAGACAAGCACCTGCAACATAACACCCCAGACTTAACAATTGTCGATAAGAAAGACAAAAAAGTCTGGATAGTGGACGTGGCAGTGCCTGGAGACAGCAGAATAGAAGAGAAAGAACTGGAGAAGATAACAAAATACAAAGACCTACAAATAGAAATAGAAAGACTGTGGCAAAAGCAAGCAAGGGTAGTACCAATAGTATAGGCTCCTTGGGTGCAATCCCAAAACAACTGGGGCACCACTTGAACACCATTGGCATTGACAAATTCGCTATTAGTCAATTGCAAAAGGCGGCCTTACTAGGAACTGCTTCCATCCTGCGACGATATCTGTAATACCACCAAACATCCACATCTGCCTATCCCAGGTCCTGGGTAAGGACTCGATAGGTAGACAAAATGCCAAATCCAGTCTGAACATCTGGCTGACTGTGCAATGATCCATAATAATAATAATAAAAGTTGGAAGGGATTTTGAAGGTCATCGTGTCCAACCCCCTGCTCAGGCAGGAAACCCTACACCATTTCGGACAAATGGCTGTCTAGTCTCTTCTTAAAAACTTCCAGTATTGGAGCATTCACCGCTTCTGGAGGCAGGTTGTTCCATTGGTTAATTGTTCTGTCAGGAAGTTTCTCCTTAGTTCTAGGTTGCTTCTCTCCTTGATTAGTTTCCATCCATTGCTTCTTGTCCTGCCCTCAGGTGCTTTGGAGAATAGCTTGACTCCCTCTTCTTTGTGGCAGCCCCTGAGATATTGGAACTCTGCTATCATGTCACCCCTCGTCCTTCTCTTTGTTAAACTAGACATACTCAATTCCAGCAACCGTTCCTCATATGTTTTAGCCTCCAGTCCCCTAATCATCTTTGTTGCTCTTCTCTGTACTCTTTCTAGAGTCTCAACATCTTTTTTACATCGTGGTGACCAAAACTGGATGCAGTATTCCAAGTGTGGCCTTACCAAGGCATTGTAAAATGGTATTAATACTTCACGTGATCTTGATTCTATCCCTCTGTTAATGCAGCCCAACACTGAGTCGGCTTTTTTGGCAGCTGCAGCATGCTGCTGGCTCATATTTAGGTGATTGTCCACTAGGACTCCGAGATCCCTCTCACGGTTACTACTATTGAGCAAGGTACCCCCTATACCAGTGGTTCTCAACCTGTGGGTCGGGACCCCATTTGGGGTCGAACGACCATTTCACGGGGGTCGCCAAACAAGGCTGTCCGCCATTTTTTCCCCTTTTCTTTGGCCATGCCCCTGGCACCCGGTGATGTATAAGTGGTTGGGGGTCACCACAACACGGGGAACTGTATTATGGGGTCGCAGCATTAGAAAGGTTGAGAACCACTGCCCTATACTATACCTGTACATTTGGTTTTTCTTGCCTAAATGAAGAGCCTTACTTTTTTCACCACTGAATTTCATTTTGTTAGATAGCGCCCAGTGTTCAACTCTGTCCAGGTCCTCCTGTATCTTAAGCCTGTCTTCTGGAGTGTTGGCTATTCCTGCCAGCTTGGTGTAATCCACAAATTTGATGAGTTCCCCATCTATCCCCTCGTCCAAATCGTTGATGAAGATGTTGAAGAGCACTGGGCCTAGAACAGAGCCCTGCGGCACCCCACTACACACTTCCCTCCATGTAGATGCAATTCCATTGAGGACCACACGCTGAGTACGGCCAGTCAGCCAGCTACGAATCCATCTGGTGGTGATGCTGTCTAACCCACATTTTTCTATCTTATCGAGTAGTAGGTTGTGATCTACTTTATCAAATGCCTTACTGAAGTCCAAGTAAATTATATCCACAACATTCCTCTGATCCACTAATTTTTTCACTTGGTCAAAGAATGCAATAAGGTTTGTCTGGCATGATCTGTTTTTGACAAACCCATGTTGGCTTTTAGTAATGATTTTGTTTGCCTCTAGGTGTTCGCTGATTTGTTGTTTGATTATCTTTTCCAGAATCTTCCCAGGTATTGAGGCCAGGCTGATAGGTCCACTCTACTGATATTGACTGTAAATTAGGAGGGACCAATAAACCTGAAAAATGGTTAGAGCTTCTGTAATGAATAGCAGAGAGAGTCTATGCTACTTTCAGAACCTTTTAGTACCAAGAAGTGGAAAATGCCAACAGAAGTCTACATTTGTCTAATTTGCTTGGGGGTTTCCCCAAGACAATTCACTGATCACTGTGGCAACGCTAGGTTAGATGGGGCTTGTTTGATTTAGCAGAATCTTCTCATTTTCTTCTTCCTCTTTTGTCCTTTCACCTACACAGTTATTGCATACAGACATGCTAAAAGAAATTGCCCTAATAAAGTGAATTCCAGTTTCATCTATCTCTGTGCTATTCAAAAGTCAGTGAATTGGGAGCAGCAGCCAAAATCTTCCTTGAAAAAAAAAGCCCCTTGTTTACAGCATTGCAGAGAAAATACAAATGTTTGCATAAGGTCAGTTTAAAGGCGAAGGAGGATTTTTACAAACCACAATTCCCAGATTTGTGATATATAAATCCAGAATTATATTTATGGCATAGTAGATTAGGTGAATACGCACAAAATATTTGGCTTTTAACATTATCACAGATAGGCAGTTTGGGCTTTCCAGATATTTGGTATTGCACGGGGCAAACTGATTGAGATTAATGAGAATTGGAGTCCCTGGACAGCCAAGAAAACAATGGATCAATGGGTAAATCAGTCCAGAGTTGTTACTCCAGGCACACATAAGCAGGCTACTTCAGAAGACCCAACTCTCCGGAAAATGGTCCAATGCTGGGAAAGATGGAAGGAAAGAGAAGAGGTTGGCCAGCAGCAAAGTGGAGAGGGGACACTACTGGAAAAACTGAAGGACCACGTTAAATGCAGTCATGAAAAGGTCTATCTTTAGAGTCTCCGATTGATGGTACACCTATCCATTCATGACATATAATGCAAAGACCCAACTGTATAATGATGGGAAAAGTGGATGGAAAGAATAGGACGACCAGCAGCAAGGTGGAGGCGCTCAATGGGAACACCTTTGAAAGATTGAAGGATCACCTTGGGGAAAGATGGTCTTGGAGTAAATCTCCTCCTGCTTGAGCAGGGGGCTGGACTAGAAGTCCTCCAAGGTCCCTTCCAGCTCTGTTCTGTTCTGTTCTATCCCTGTGCTTGCTAAGAGTCAACAATGATTTGATGGCACATTATCCATCCACTCCATCCATCCATTCATCCGGAAGGAAACAGGTCGCGTCTGAGGTTGCATTGATTTCTCTCTCTCCTCTGAAAACAATGCCAAATAACCACGGAAATGTAAGCGATGCGAGAGATGGAGACTCCATTGGCACAACTCGGCCCGGACTCTGCAAAAATAAATACAAAAAAGCCCGGCTGAAAAGGGATCAGGTTTAGGCGGCTGACCGAGCTTGGAATGTTGGGAAATGTAGTCTCGGGAGCTCAAACTGGGAAGGTAGCCTAGGCAACCGCCGGTAAACAAGATGGCGGTGCCTGTCTGAAACCTCCGGAGGGGTCGGTGAGTGCAGGCTGGGAGCGGGTGCTTTCTCCCCCCCCCCTCATATTCCCACCTGACAAGGTTGCCTCATTCCGGCGAAGGACCTCCAGAAAAATCCCCGGTGCCCCCCCAAACTAGCAGGGCACGTTGGTTCTCCTCCTAGCGAGGAGGTTTCCCCTGGGCTCGGTGGGGCTGCGCTTCAGGCAATGGAGGTGGGGGGAGGCTGCAGTTGGTGGGGCCTCCCCCCTTGGGCCTGCAGGTCACCAGTTGCACCCCAAGCCTGTTTTGCAAGGAAGGGTTGGCTTCACACTGTGTGCTGAACTGTAAACCTGGGTTATCAAAATTGGGTGGACTGTTTTTTTATAGCTTCCCCCCTCACTTTTACAGGTAGTCCTTGATTTAGAACAATTCATTTAGTGACTGCTCAAAGTTACAATGGCACTTAAAAATGTGACTTATGACCGTTTTTCACACTTACATCTGTTGCAGCATCCCTATGGTCATGTGATCAAAATTCAGATACTTGGCAACTGACTCATATTTATGATGGTTGCAGTGTCCTGGGGTTATGAGATCATCTTTTGTGACCTTCCAACAAGCAAAATCAACGGGGAAGTCAGATTCATTTAACAATGGGGTTACTAACTTAACAACCGCAGTGATTCATTTAACTACTGTGACAAGAAATGTCGTAAAAATGGGGCAAAATTCACTTAACAAATGTTTTGCTTAGCAACAAAAATTTGGGGCTCAGTTGTAGTCATAAGTTGAGGATCACCTGTACCTTACTCTAGGCAGCTTACATTAAAATACAGGTATGTCTCAGTGCAATCAATGAATTCCACAAAATGGTTGCTTGATTCAAAGTTGCATGATTCGAAGTGATATTTCTATGGAACATGCGGTAATGGGCTTCAGTTTAACCGACAAGGGCAAAGAAAGTAGCTAAACTTAAATATTTACATGTTTATGAATGAAATACTTATTACACTTAAAGAGGACAAATGTATATCCAAAGAGTATTTCCTGCATTCTACTGTAGTTCTTCATAATGAGCTTCTTCTTTTTGGAGTTGCCTTTGAAATGAAACTTCCGTCTCTCTATTGTGCACCATCAATTAATGTCTAAAATCCCAACAGCAACTGCATGTGCACTTAGCCTTGCACTGTCTGAATTTTGGCTCACATTAAATGTGACCTGGTATCAATTTATAAATTGATGGTATCAATTTATAAATCACACTAAATCAAATATTTGAACTTGCACTAATCATGACCTGCCTGTAACTAAAGTATATAAAATAAATTATCATTATTATAATTATTCATACAACCAGGAAATGGGCTGATGCCCTGGGTCACAGGCTTGGGCATGAAACCAAATTTTCAAGACCATGTGAAAGGGCAACAGGGGCAGGGCCAATTTAATGGCGGGGGGAGATGGTGATATTCCATTGGGCCATGGCAGAAAAGCATTTCCTTTAGGTCTTGGCAGCTGACTCCTTAGCTAAAGGTACCCAGTTGCTGGGCTTGCTCAAGGTAGTCTGTTCTCATAAAACATAACCTTGACTTTACAAGGCTCAGATCATGGCTGGGTCCCTGGAAGCATGTGCTAAAGCTTAGATTCCCCCATGGCTTTCTCATCTAGCCTAAGAAATTGTCTGAACCCAGCCATGGAGCCCCCCTGGTCTTAATAGGGAGCTTCACCTTAGGATAAGGATTTTGAATAAGGCTGATCTGACCTTCTCCTCTGGGAGCTCTTTAGAGGTGTTGGATCATGGGAGCCTGTGGAAGTTGAGGTCCCACGTTTGGTGTGTGCAAGGATGGGGAGCATTGTATTCGGCTGCAGTCCCATGCAAGAGTAAATCATAATGTCTTCAAGAAAGGCCATGCAGTTTTCTTCAGTTTGGTGCTGAGGGGATAAAGTAACTTCTGAATATGTGGATGGATTGCATTGTAATTTATTTCTTATGTGAACTGGAATGCCCTTCCACATTCCAATACTCTCCAAATGTGTTGGAATTCAACATCCATCATTCACAGCCAATATAGTCAATAATGATCTAAGGCAAGGGTAGGCAACCTTGGCTCTTTTATGAGTCGTGGACTTCAACTCCCAGAATTCTGGGAGTTGAAGTCCACGAGTCATAAAAGAGCCAAGGTTGCCTATCCCTGATCTAAAGGATGATGGGAGCTGTAGGAGCCATCAAACTGGTAAAAGCTGGAATCAAGTCTACCACTCAGTGGGCTGATACTGCTTCAAACAGAATATTGCACATGTTTATCTTCTGCAGACACAACTATACTTCAGGATTGCCTGGCACTACTGTTAATTCCTTTGCATTCCAGTGTGTATTCATGTGTTGTGATCATGATATAGTTCACCTGAGGATATTTTTTGCTGTTTTGAGCAAACAGAGGATAATTTTACATGATGGTCTCCAAAAGTAAAACAGGTTAACCTCTTTTCTCCATCTAGGAATTAAAACTGTCTTCAAGAAAAAAAATGTCATCTCCTTTCTCTTCTCTCAGCAAGATTCGTAGAATGCCACTTCAGTTGCAGCCAACAGAGTAAGTGAGGGCTTAATAATAATAAAGTTGGAAGGGACCTTGGAGGTCATCTAGTCCAACCCTCTGCTCAGGCAGGAAACCCTATATTATTTCGGACAAATGGCTGTCCAGTCTCTTCTTAAAAACTAATTGGAGGAGACTATCTAAATCAGTGGTAGAAAAAAATCCCATATTTTGGCTTCCAAATATCACAACAATTTCTCTTTTGAATGAATAAAATGGCCCTTAAACTTCTTCCAGTAGTGAGAGCATTATATAGGAGAGATTAAATGTTTCTAATACACTTAGTTTTATTCAGTTTTACCACAGTTTGCAACTATTAGCCATGGCATTTTATATCTCTGTTTCTTCCTATTTTAATGTTATGTATTCATACAGGAAATCCTAAGCTCTTCTTTGAATTATGTATATGGTCTAACTTACTTAAAAAAAGAGCTAAAAGAATAATTTGTATGGCAAATGTGATATACAGTATTTGACAGGATAATTTGAATGAATTTCCTCTATTTTTTAAACTGTTTCTCCCATTTGTTTCTGGATTTTAGGAAAAAGGCAGTACCACTCCAGACAAATATCCAGAATGGTAAATTAACAAAGATTCATACCTTTTATTTTAAATACTGCTTGTAAACATTGTAAGCTACTCTTATAGTTTTAAGGATCCATAGGAATATTTTCATATCCCATAAAAATTCATAAACATTGCTTGTTGTTAATGTTAATGTTATATATTTCTATAAATATTTTAAAAATCCACTAACAAACAAACTATGCTATGAAAATAATCTTTGGGGCATATATAGGAAATATGCAACTAAGAAAGTTCTGCTGGATCTGACCAGTTGATTTGATCTGATTGTCTATTACAGCCATATAGATGACAATTAGCAAGAGAAAAAAATGGTAGATGCAATTAATCAATGCTGTTTTATGTGTTACACAGTTAATGCTGTTTTAGTGTGTTACACAGTTGTCCTGCAAAAAAACAAAGTTCCACTTTGTTACATCGGTCAATATGGAGAAATGATACAATTGATACCATGTGGCAATGGATATTTCTTTCTAAACTAGGGGTAGTCAACCTTGGCTCTTTTATGACTCGTGGACTTCAACTCCCAGAATTCCTGAGCCAGCTTAGCTGGCTCAGGAATTCTGGGAGTTGAATTCCACGAGTCATAAAAGAGCCAAGGTTGACTACCCCTGTTCTAAACAGTGGAGTCCTTGCAGACGTTTCATTACCCAACTAAATAACATCATCAGTGCTAGAAGAGTGTGGGGTTTGCTCGCTCTCTAAACAAGCAGAATAAAGAGAATATCCCAGGCTTGCACTTGATAATAGTTTATCCTTTGATTCACAGAAGATGAAGCTGCTATGATGGATGAAATTCTAGGGCCAGGAGCTCAAATTCCAGTACAAATTAATTTGCCTTCTTGCTCAAATGGAGCTACAGCACAATCATCTATGCTTGGTATGAGTCAAAGAATTGGACATAGAAGTATATAACTGTACTGGATAATGCTAAGCATTTACATTAGTCACAGAGTCTCACTTTGCAATGGATAAGAGTAAACTTAATCATAATTCACTATATAGCTTAAAAAGCTGACTCAGAGTTAATGAGTCCTGTGTTCTTATCCTAAGAATACTTTGTGGTTCCTTTGGACCCGAATTTGGATTCCTAAAAACCTCAATTTGGGGTATAGAAAAACAACCAATAAACAGCCCCTCTCCCCCAAATCAGATTGGTTCTCCTCATGGAAGTGACCATACAGTACAGACAACATAGCAAGTCTTCTGGAAGTATGCCCCATTTTTTAACAATACAAAGTGTCCTTAAACCGATTGTTAGTATGAATTGTCCTCACATTCTACTGATTTCACGTCTTCAGGAAATGCTCCGACTGATATGGAGTTGATGACTTCTATGATGCAGAAGATTGCTTCTTTGGAGCAGAAAGTCAAGAGCCAAGCACAAGCCATCCAAGAGAAGGTGACAACAGAACCAGTGCAGGAATTGCCCTTGAACTATTTGAAACAGCTCAGACTGGAAACGGTTGAAATTTTGTTAAGATTTCACTTACCATTTTGTTATTTTTAATTTTTTATGCTATTTTTTTTTACCAGCTTGTAGTACGTATCTCATTAGGTGTCTACCGGATAAATACCAAAATTAAGTAGAATAATAATTACAATAAAAATAGTATAAAACAAATAATGTAATAAGATCAAAACAACACATTAAAAGAGACCAGAGAGTAATAAATGTAGAGAGTTGGGCACAAGATATGCAATAAAAAACCCTTATATGCTAAATGGGCATTACTCTATAGATGCTGTTACATTGGTATGTTTGGAGTTAATACTCAGAAATGGTTCTTTTGACAGAGCACTCAGGGAAGATTGCAATCTTAAAACCTGAATAGATGTACTTGGAAAGAAGTACAGGTAGTTCCTTGACCTATGACTTTAATTGGGAGAGAAATTTGGTTTTATGTTGTTATGGTTATAAGTTGAGGTACTACATAACCAGAAGTAATTTTCTGATTTTGTTTTCAGTAGTTATTAAGCAAACAAGGTGATTGTTAAATGAATGGGGGGGGTGTTGTTAAACAAATATGGAGGTTGTTAAACAAGTGAGGCAGTTGTTAAGCAAGCCCATTTTTTGAATGAGTGTTTTTTCCCCCATAAACGGGCAAAAAGCATCATGAATCAGTCACATGACCATGGAATACCATGCCTGGTTTTAAAGCTTCTGTAGAAGAGCAGGCAGGACCAGGGGGTGGAGTTAAAACATGTCATTGGCTTAGAATCCTTATATATCCACAAACGCTCCCCCTTGAATTTCTTTGACCCTTATTGAGTACCAATCTAGTGTGGACCTTTAGTTGAGTAGTGTGTAGGCTTGAACAAATCTTTTGTGCTGCAACTTAATGTATGGTTCTGATCCTTTGTGCTGTCAGGGGGAATAGAAATAGTCAAGGATAGGAGAATTTTTCCAATGTCAATAATGAAGTTGAAAACAGATAAGGGGACTATTGTGCTTTCCAAGTTTCAAAAAATTGTCTGGCTCTATATCTACAATAATTAAGTTGAGTTTGTATGAATAGAAAATGCAACTTGCTTTGGCCTTTGCTTTTGGGCTGGCAGAATAAGAAGATCAGAGAACTTGAGGAGCAGATCAAAACCCTTCAGAAGAGAACAGGTAACTTACCAGAGTACCCTTCCTTTTGTTTTAGTCCTCAACAGCAGGCAATGACAATGTCTTGGTAAAGGCCAACACAGTGGCCAACACAGTGCTAGGCTGCATTAACAGAGGGATAGAATCAAGATCACGTGAAGTGTTAATACCACTTTACAATGCCTTGGTAAGGCTACACTTGGAATACTGCATCCAGTTTTGTAAAAAAGATGTTGAGACTCTAGAAAGAGTACAGAGAAGAGCAACAAAAATGATTAGGGGACTGGAGGCTAAAGCATATAAGGAAGGGTTGCTGGAATTGGGTATGTCTAGTTTAACGAAGAGAAGGACGAGGGGGGACATGATAGCAGTGTTCCAATATCTCAGGGGCTGCCACAAAGAAGAGGGAGTCAAGCTATTCTCCAAAGCGCCTGAAGGCAGTACAAGAAGCACCGGATGGAAACTAATCAAGGAGAGAAGCAACCTAGAACTAAGGAGAAACTTCCTGACAGTTAGAACAATTAACCAGTGGAACAACCTGCCTCCAGAGGTGGTGAATGCTCCAACACTGGAAGTTTTTAAGAAGAGACTGGACGGCCATTTGTCTGAAATGATATAGGGTTTCCTACCTGAGCAGGGGGTTGGACCAGATGACCTCCAAGGTCTCTTCCAACTTTATTATATTATTATTATTTTGGATCATCGCACAGTCAGCCAGATGTTCAGACTGGATTTGGCATTTTGTCTATCTATCGAGTCCTTACCTAGGACCTGGGATAGGCAGATGTGGATGTTTGATGGTATTATAGATATCGTCGCAGGATGGAAGCAGTTCCTAGTAAGGCTGCCTTTTGCAATTGACTAATAGCGAATTTGTCAATGCCAATAGTGTTCAAGTGGTGCTCCAGTTGTTTTGGGATTGCACCCAAGGAGCCTATCACTATTGGTACTACCCTTGCTTGCTTTTGCCACAGTCTTTCTATTTCTATTTGTAGGTCTTTGTATTTTGTTATCTTCTCCGGTTCTTTCTCTTCTATTCTCCAGTTTATTATTATTATTATTATTATTATTAAGATTGAAAATGCGAAACAAAAGATCATATTTCATCCTTAGCATTAATAGAGAGATAAATTTTAAGACTTTGCAGACTATTAAGATCTGAAACTGATGAAATGTGGAAAAATAATATGAAGGATATATATCCCAAAGTAAAATTTGTCTTATTTTCTGTTCTGAATCAGGACATTTATTGATAGGAGAGCTCCCCTTTTTTGTGGTTTTTCTTTTTTGTTTGGTATAGTTCGATATTTTTTTTTAAAAAAAAGGAACTCCAAATTCTTTTTCTCCTCTCCCTATAGAAAAAACTTCACCAGGGACAAGCCGAGTTGAGGAACTGGAAATGTTATGCCTTCAGCTGCAACGTCAGGTTTGGGAAATGGAGGTTAGCTATTTAATGGAAAGAAATAAAAAAAAATCCTTTTTTCTCTAGGTATCTGAGCTTTTTCATGAACTCAAGGAAAACTGACAGTTGTTGAACTGGAAACCTACAGTTTGTCTATTGCAGGGGTAGGCAACCTTGGCTCTTTTATGACTCAGGGATTCTGGGAGTTGAAGTCCACGAGTCATAAAAGAGCCAAGGTTGCCTGCCCCTGGTCTATTGCAAGCAGTAGTGGAAAAAGATGACACACACACACACACACACACACACACACACACACACACACACGGCTACCAGCCGTTATGCTTTATAGTAGCTCTAGGGCATGGGTAGGCAACCTTGGCTCTTTTATGACTCGTGGACTTCAACTCCCAGAATTCCTGAGCCAGCATGGCTCAGTGTAGCTGGCTCAGGAATTCTGGGAGTTGAAGTCCACGAGTCATAAAAGAGCCAAGGTTGCCTACCCCTGCTCTAGGGAGTAGACTTTGCATCTGCAGAGATGGCTTCGTATCAGGACTTTCTTCCCAAACAACATTTTAAAATGTATTAAAATTCCAAGTTTCTGTTCCATTGAGGCCTGCTTTGCAAAATTCATACCTCTAGTTATAATGGCTTTAGTTGACCTGCAGGAAAATGAGTAATTTTAAATTTTAACAATCTTAGTTTTCCTATTCCATCTTGGAATGTACATATTTTGTCATTGCAGATAAAGATTAATATACCAATTAATACATACTATCAATTTTCTTGCCATCCCCTCTCCATTTTCTATTCACTTTCCCATACAGCGGTTTCTGAATGACTATGGATTGATCTGGGTTGGAGAAGACCCAGATTCTTTGATGGATCTGGAGTCCCTAGAGGAAGAAGAGAGTCCAACATCAAGGACTTTCTGGAAACCAGGTTAGCTGGGAGGAATGACTGTCTTTTTTAAAGAAGCATGAAAATATATTTCATCTTTTATTTTAATCTCATTTTCTTCTCCCCTTTCTCTATTGCTTTTTATGAATAATGAAAGGTATATTATCAGTTTCTTGGAAGAGAAAATGGTCTTTTTTTCTTGGCAAAACTTTATAAAACAGCTATGTATTTTGATCACTTCTCCCTGTCAATATTCATTATTTAATCCTGCTGATATGTCTGTGGAGATTCTTAATCATCCAGGTTATGATTGTCCCAAAGGTGTTTTCAAAAGCAACTGGACTTGCTTGGGTTTTTTTCCTGAAGACATTTCACTTCTTGTTCAAGAAGCTTCTTCGGTTCTGACTGAATGTTGTCCCCACCATTCAGTCAGAACTGAAGAAGTTTCTTGGATGAGAAGTGAAATGTCTTCAAGGGAAAAAAAAAACCAAGAAAGTCCAGCTGCTTTTTGAAAAGCACCTTTGGGACAATCCTGCTGATAGACCTGTGGTAACAAATAGTAAGATTTTCAGGTGGGCTATTCTGACTCTGATATAAAACTCCTTCTTTAAATTAAGTCAGATAGATAACTCAAAAGAAACAATCTCATAATAAAAAATATATTTATTAGAAAGATTACTTGCATTCACGCTGTGGTTGATACTCCTGGAAAATACATCCTTTGTCCATTTCTTTAGACCATTTCTTTAGGTAAAAGTATGATGCTCTCTTCCATACCATCTTTATAATGACTCAAGCTCATTGTGTGACCTTCCATGACCCATGCTTCTTACAGACAAAGAGATTTCACCCTGGCTTGTGTCCAGGAAGTCTCCCAATGACCTTTTGAGACTCCTCCCACTGACCCATCAACATACCTAGCATTTAACCCAATAACTGCCAGATATTCTAACATGCTGATACCTGCTCTCTAGTTAGGGTTACATAGACCTATAAGATCCATGGAGCTATACGTTCCAGAATATGGGCCTTGGAGGAAAGCTTTTATTGACTTCTCCTATCAAAGCTAATTTGTTTTATATGCTAGGAAACAAAAATTGGCCTTTTTAGTCCTGGGGAAATTGTTCCACTCATTCTTCTATTCAGCTGAGTTTGAAAATTCTACCAGATTCCTGAATATTAAATATTTTATTTTTGTTGTTTATAATTCAACTGGAGGTTGTGATTATTTTAATTATATAATTTTAATTATATTGCAGATCCTTGAGAGGAGGCTTTGCAGTGAGAATTACTGTAGAAATTTAAAAGATATTTTTTAAAACTCACAAACATACCTTAGTATTTAGAGTGTGCTATGTATCTCTCCCCAGCAGGGTGGGGTGGGGTGGGGAGATCACTATACCTGTAGCACATGATGAGAAACTTATTAGATAAAACAATGTGTTATAGAAATGCAGATAAAAAAAATCCATTCATTTGCCACGGTCCACCAAACTAGTGCCCCCTCCCCAGCTGTATTTAGGCTATAATTCCCAGAATTCCTGCCAAGAGGCCATCTGGAGGATATCACATTTAGGATTGAGAAGGTTGCATTGGAATGTTGGTTTTGCTTTAGCAACGATGCAGTTCCAATGCTGAGCTTGCACTAAAATCCAAAGCTAAATATCACGGGCTGGATGATGCTTTCTCCTTGCCCTCCCACAGTCATTTCTCCTTTCATGTAGGTGAAGCCATCATGTCTGAAACCCCAATCGATTTTGATCTGATTTTAAAGAATCTGAAAGAGTTGAGTGTGCTGGCTGGAGAAGGTATATCCCAAATCAAACACACTGCAGGTGGGGCTCGGTTGAAGCGCTTGGATTCAGTTCCGATCACCTTCTATCAGAACGGGATTGTCATGTTCAAGGGACCTTTCCGCTCATATGAAGATCCTTCCACACAGGTAGGGATCAAGCTTCGAAGAAATGAAATTGTTGACTAGCAGTTAATCTGAGATTAGCTGGTAGCACTGATGATGTGATGTAATTTGGGTAATGGAACGTCTGCAAGAAAACAATCAAGCTTATAGAGCACCAAGCTTTTAGACCTCTCATTTCAACCCTGAGCTACATATATTCTCTTTTATTGGAATCTGAGAGTTACTACTACCTGTATGTATAAATTAAGCCTTTTGTGGCAATAACATTCATAATAATAATAATAAAGTCGGAAGGGACCTTGGAGGTCAACTAGTCAACCCCCTGCTCAGGCAGGAAACCTTATACCAGGGGTAGGCAACCTTGACTCTTTTATGACTCGTGGACTTCAACTCCTGGAATTCCTGAGCCAGCCATGCTGGCTGAGGAATTCTGGGAGTTGAAGTCCACGAGTCATAAAAGAGCCAAGGTTGCCTACCCCTGCCCTATACCATTTTGGACAAATGGCTGTCCAATCTCTTCTTAAAAACTTCCAGTGTTGGAGCATTCACTGCTTCTGGAGGCAGGTTGTTCCACTGGTTAATTGTTCTGACTCTCCGAAAGTTTCTCCTTAGTTCTAGGTTGCTTCTCTCCTTGATTAGTTTCCATCCATTGCTTCTTGTCCTGCCATTCTCCCACAACCATTGCCAAGCCCCTCCCCTTCCTTATACTGTGGCAGAGAATGGCAAGAATCTTATCTTTTAGTGGATCATTGGACATTTTGATCATTGCATTTGAAAAAACTAATGAGATAAGAAGCCACAACAATGCAACATGTAGTTGTCAAACTGATGTGGAGCCGCACTTATTCCACTTGGGCAAAGACATACATCTCTGAAAGTTCAGCCTTGATATAAGCAATTCCCAACATAAATAGTGAATAGTATGTAATTTTATGTTTCCCAGAAACAAGAGTTCTGTAATATTATTGTTGTTGATGATGATGATGATGATGACCATGCTTGAAAAAGAAAACAAATGAGAATACGGAACTTGGCAGGGCAAACCTGAAACAAAAAGGAAGCAGTGGAGACTCAAAATAGCAGCACAGAAGGGGAAATGGGATAATAAGATATGGAGAACTTCTTGAGAAGAATATTGAATTTGCAACTATCCAATTAGAGAAAAGAAAGAAGAAGGATCCCATCTCAAGTGGATTGGGTAACAGAAATATTACAGAAATTAACAGAACAGTATAACAGAGTTGGAAGGGACCTTGGAGGTCTTCCAGTCCAACCCCCTGCTCAAGCAGGAGACCCTAAACAATTTCAGACAAATGCTGTCCAGTCTCTTCTTAAAAGCCTCCAATAGTGGAGCACCCACAACTTTTGGAGGCAAGTCGTTCAACTGATCAATTGTTCTAACTGTTAGGAAATTTCTCCTTAGTTCTATGTTGCTTCTCTCCCTGAGAAGTTTCCAAAGCATCGCTTCTTGTCCTGCCTTCAGTTGCTTTGGAGAATAGGTTGACCCCTTCTTCTTTGTGGCAGCCCCTCAAATATTGGAACACTGCTATCATGTCACCCTCATTTTTTTATTTTCACTAACTAACCATACACAGTTTCTGCAACCATTCTTCATATGTTTTAGTCTCCAGACCCTTAATTATCTTAGTTGCTCTTCTCTGCACTTAATTTAAACCAGAAGCATGCCAAAATATCTGCTTGGGAAATTCCAGGAAAGTTCTTGGATTAGAAGCCACCATGATGATGATGTACGTGTTATCCATATAGCCGTGTCCGACTCTTGGTGATTCTGTGGGCCAGGTCTCTCCACCTCTTCCGATCTTGCACTACTTTTTTGAATTGTTTGGGGCTGTGGCTGGTCTCAGCTTGATGGTGAGAAGCTGTCAAGATTGATGTTAATCCCTGGAGAAAACAGGAGCTGCAGAGACTCCATTCTTCATTGTGGCTAGAATAACAGAATCTTGATAGCTCATCTGTTTCTCTCTGCCCCATCGTATACCATACAAAATCAAGGCAAGCTTATTTTAAGGCCCTTTCCTACACTTTCCATCTTTTTGGAACTGAGAAATCTTTTCTTCTTCCTTAACAATTCACTGTTCCCTTCTGAAAGGCAGATCTATATTCTTTTACAGCTAGCAAGCTGAGCCTGGCTGTAGTAATAGGCTGTATGAATGCATCACTAATCATGAAAGAGACCTGCTGCTGGGTACTGATTTTAAAAAAGGTTTGTTGTTGTTAGCTGTGGAGTCGTGTCCGACCCATTGTGACCCCATGGACAACGTTCCTCCAGGCCTTCCTGTCCTCTACCATCTTCTGGAGTCCATTTAAGCTCACGCCTACTGCTTCAATGACTCCATCCAGCCACCTCATTCTCCGTCGTCCCTTTCTTCTCTTGCCCTCCATCTTTCCCAGCATTAGGCCCTTCTCCAGTGAGTCCTTCCTTCTCATTAGGTGGCCAAAGTACTTGAGTTTCAACTTCAGGATCTGGCCTTCTAAAGAGCAGTCGGGGTTGATCTCCTCTACCTTTCCCTTCCCACAGTCTCTCTCTCTCTCTCTCTCTTTCCAGAGACTTTTGAAAATAAGGATTCTAGTATTGGGATGTTGAATCTTGCTGAGAGCAAAGCAGGCTTTATTTTTCTTGTGAAGAACTTAAATTGCAAAGTGAAAAATGGCAGAAAACGAGGCTTTTATCACATCTCATCTGTTTGCTCCTTTCAACAGGAAAGTTTCATATTTAAACAGCCTATTGATTCTCATTCTGAAAGGGAATTGGAGGAAGTGAAAAAATGAAGCGGTAAGGTGCCCTTTTTCTCATGGCTTTTCTCTTTTAAACAAGCACTATGAATCTATATGCTGCTTCTGAAGCATTTCAAGGTCATTTGTTGCACATCTGCCACAAATGGAAGCCACTTCTTGTTTCAGCCTGTTGCAATTCTCTATCCACAATAATCAAGCTGTCTGGGGCCTTTGCCATATGCAAATTCTAGAACTTGGTGTGACCTTTGAAAATCTCCACAGAAAGCTATTGTAACGTCTGCAAATTCAGTTGCTTCTTTCATGTATTAGTATCCCATTTTTATTATTTTTACAAACAACTCACAATGATAAATATATCCAACATATCTTACTCCTCCTTTTTTCCCCCACAAGAACCCTGTGAGGTGGGTTGGGCTGAAAGAGTGTGACTGGCCCAAGTCATCCAGCTGGCTTTCATGACCAGAGTTCACAGTTATCTTGGCTTATCATGCCTTAACCCGGGGGTCTTCAAACTTGGCAACTTTAAGATTTGTGGACTTCAACTCCCAGAATTCCTCAGCCAGCCCTGAGGGAGTTGATTGAACTTTTTAGTCCCACCCAGTCTGTTGTTATCACTGCAGCCACACCCACCCAATGGTCACACCCACCCAATGGTCATGCCCACCTGGCATGAGGGAATTCTGGGAGTTGAAGTCCACAAGTCTTAAAGTTGCCAAGTTTGAAGACCCCTGCCTTAACCACTAGATCAGTGATGGCGAACCTTTTAGAGACCGAGTGCCCAAATTGCAACCCAAAACCCACTTATGTATCATTGGGTGCCAGGTGGGCATGACCATTGGGTGGGCGTGACCATTGGGTGGGCATGGCTGCAGTGATAACAACAGACTGGGTGGGACTAAAAAGTTCAATCAATCAATTCCAAATTTGCGAGATCTTTTTTTTTTTCCCCCTCTAGAAGTTGAAATTGATTGATTGAACCTTTTTTTTTTTTTTTTGCACACAGCGGCGGAGGCCTAAAGCAAAAAGATTTTATAAAACCCAGCTGAAGGCCTAGGACTGGGGTGACGGCATGCGTGCTCACAGAGAGGGCTCCGAGTGCCACCTGTGGCACGCGTGCCATAGGTTTGCCACCACGGCACTAGATCAAATTGGCTCTCATATTTTGTTGCCTTATGGCAGGGGTGTCAAACTGCCGGCCCGCAGGCCGGATGCATCATAGCAAAACTGTGCCCGCCCCATTGCCGGCAATGGCAAAAAAGCCACAATATGTCCCGACACGTCATATGACGTTGTGAGTTTGACACCCCTGTCTTACGGCAAATAAGTCAGAGAACTATTGGCTGAGAATTGTAGTCGTTTGCTGAACTACTCCATTTTATATCTGCCTAGATTTGACATTTTTATATGGAGAAAATATATTCAGTGCCCCTAGTCCTCTTATCCTACGTTCACCAATTAACAGAGACACTTCCATCCATATCCTGATGATACTCAAAATCTAAAAAAAAAAAAAAACAAAACAAAACAGGATGGGGCAGGAGATTCCTTTGTATTCTGTTTTTTTTTTTTCCGGAAGATTTGTTTTGTATGCTTAGTTTTTTTAAATTATTTCTACCAATTTACCTGGAACAGTTGCTAGGCTGATTGGCCTAAGTTTTCCTGGATTTCTACTTAACTGCTTTCTAAAAGTGATGTGACACTGGCCTCTGGCACTGACCCTGATCTGAGTGAAAAGTGGTAATATTTGCTAGGAGGTCAGAAATTTCTCAAATGAGTTATTTAAGACCTCTTAAGTGGATGTCATCAAGACCCAGTGACTTATCTTTGAATACCTCCTAGATTTTCTTGCTTCAGTTGTTCCAATTTCCATCCTGAGAAAGTCAACACAAACTCACTTTCATCTGGTCTCCTTTTTCCATTAGAGAACAGATGAAAAAATTACTTCAACTTCTCTGCAATCTCTGTACCTTTCACACCTTTGTCGTCTTAAGGCCCCTGTGTGATTTTCTGCTTTGAATGTAAAGTTTTTGCATTCTTTATTATCATTTTATGATATTTTTGCTAGACTCCGTGTTCTTCTTCATTCTCCTCATTAGGATAATCTTCCCATTTCTTGAAGGGATGGGACGATATCTGGAAGGGGGATTATATACTTTTTGAGAGTTGCCCAAGATTCTCCAGGTTGTTTGACTGACTACCTGGTTTCTTTGTATGTTCTTGATCATTCAGTTAAGACATTACATTCCGTTTTGGCTTACTTGGTGCCTTTCAGGAAGTATCATGGCCAATGGATAAAGTCCAAGTGTTGAAGACCATGAAATTGGGGAAAGCTGTTATAAATAGGCACTTCCTGTCTATCCTTCCCCCCCCCCCCAGATAACTGTTTCAGTGGCTTATTTTAGGCTCTATAGTGGACTTATCTTTGCCAGGAATAAACACGAAGCCTTCCCTGTCCTTGCCAGATTGTAACCTGTTCTATAATTCTACGTATGCAGTTGGGGTTATGGTTTCATATTTAAATTCTGCGATTAACATTTCACTATTAGAATAACTGAGAGCCCGTTGGATGCAGTGGTTAAGGCACTAAGCTAGAAACTGGAGTTCTACTTTCACTTTAGGCATGAAACCCGTTAAGTGACTTTGGGCCAATTCGTTCATGTATTAATTATTTATTACTAGACTTTTGTGCTGCCCATGTCATCAAGGCGGCTCTAGGCATCTCACAGTCGTGCAATTAAAAGACCACATAAAGCATTACAACAGTAAATAAGAACCATACAGTTATAAATTCAAATAAAATTTGATTAACCACTATGGAAAGGAAGGGAGCAAAATAGGCATAGAGTAGACTTTTTTCCCAGTTGCAATGGATGGCTATGAAAGTTGGACCATAAGAAAGGCTGAGCGCCAAAGAATGGAGGCCTTTGAACTCTGGTGCTGGAGAAGACTCCTGCGAGTCCCCTGGACTGCAAGGCGATCGAACTGGTCAGTCCTAGAGGAGATCAACCCTGACTGCTCTTTAGAAGGCCAGATCCTGAAGTTGAAACTCTAGTACTTTGGCCACCTAGTGAGAAGGAAGGACTCACTGGAGAAGAGCCTGATGCTGGGAAAGATGGAGGGCAAGAGAAGAAGGGGACGACAGAGAATGAGATGGCTGGATGGAGTCCCTGAAGCAAGAGGCATGTGCTTAATTGGACTCCAGAAGATCGTGGAAAACAGGAAGGCCTGGAGGAACGTTGTCCATGGGGTCACAATGGGTTGGACATGACTTCGCAACTAACAACAAAGATTTTTTTTTTAAAAAAAATGAGAAAATGCAAGTGTAATTGGATTGTAGGAATGTATATAAATGAAGCCTTTGGTTTCTTAGTGTAATAAACTGCACTCTTACTGATCAACAAACCTCAACAGAATAACCAGTCAAGAAACCTGAAAAGACTAATTATGGTCTAGACCAGGGGTAGTCAACCTTGGCTCTTTTATGACTCGTGGACTTCAACTCCCAGAATTCCTGGGAGTTGAAGTCCACGAGTCATAAAAGAGCCAAGGTTGACTACTCCTGGTCTAGACAGTTAGTTGATGAAATAGTGTCTCCCAAACCGGTCCCTATCTAGCCCTTCTTTTTATAGAATTATTTTACTCTTGGCCTCATCTGTGCTCTTTATTGGTTGCTGTCATTGCTGGGCTGGGTGGGTTTCAGTCCTTGACATGCAGTTTTCACTGTCAGTAACCTAGTCTAGTTTCAGACTGGGTCACTCATTGGTCTTCACATGTCCAAGTCTGTGTTTCTTAGATTGCTTGGTTTGCTGTTTTTCTCAGGACATTCCCTATCTGCCATTGCTAGTAAATTCAGATGGAGTCCATAAATTTTCCCACAGAAAATGTTGACCCATTTAATTTCTTTCTTTTTCTTTTTTTAATGGTGGGGAAACAGTAAATATTTTCTATCTCAAAACCCCGATAAAAGGAGAATACATAAATGGAAATAGGCAAGGTGCCAACAGGCAAATAATTGAGTTTTTCTCCATTGCGGTTGCTTTGTCACTATGGGGGAAATCTAATGAGTTGGCTTGTGCTTGTGGTTTCAGCGTTGCCTGCAAGATATACTGGATGGCTTTTTCCCTTCTGAGCTGCAAAGGCGTTACCCCAGTGGTGTCCCATTTCAGGTATATCTTTACAGCTTCCTGTTTTTGAATTTTTGGTTTCTTGTACCTTCAGAATTGAAAATTCTGAGGTTATAATGCCTACAAAAAGATACTCTACTACAATTTAAGGTCTTGACTCTGTGGTTTTATGATAATGGATCCATACAGTCAGCACAGCTTCCGTGAGGTTTGTTGAAGGGTCACTGACTTATGGACGGAATACCTTTCTGTTCGAGTTATTGTACCTAATTTCTATTTCATTCAAACAACAGACAACTGGTTTTTGTTGGCTTTTTTTTGCCAGCTGTGAGGGTTGGTTTTTTTTTTTTTAATTATCAGTCCGTTTGAGGAACTGAGAATGTTTGTCGCATCAGAAACTGGAACAATTTTTCTCCTAAAACCTTCTTTAGACAGTTTAATCGTCATTTCTGTATTTTAGCTTTAAAGTAACTCTATTAATGATAGGGTTTTTTTTTCCTTTTCCTCCTTAGTTTGCCTTTATTTAAGGTTTCTTTTTTAAAACTCCCGTTTTATTATAAAAATAAAGATGATAAAATTTAAAAACTACTGGTGGTAGCCGTTTCCACTTATGAAAATTAAAAAGAATTTTCAATAGGTAAAACAATGTTTAAGAATACCACTGGTATTCAAATTCTGTTGGAAAAAGTAGTTTATATTTTCTTTATGTGGCTCAGAGAAGCAACATGGGAAAAAAACATGATATTTACTGTTCTTTATTTAGCACATTGGCTCTCAAAAAAAAAAATCTTTACCAGAGCAATTTACAATAAAAATCAGAATGTAATTTTTTTAAATAAAAAAACCAAAAGCAATAAATAAAAATAGAGTTCAACTGGAGATTATTAGGATAGTTTCTTTAGAAAGAATGAAAAAAAGGTAAACCCACAAGTTGGAACAGAAAAAGTTAAACAGCAAATAGTTTTTTTAAAAAATTGAGAAAAAACAAGTGCAGTTGAATTGTAGAAATCTGTATAAATTAAGCCTTCAGTTTCTTAGTGTAATAGATCTCTGGAGTTCCTGATGATCTCTCATCCAACTATTATCTAGGTTTACCACTGCTTGGTGTGGTTTTTTTTAAAAAAAAGATTGGTGAAGATTGGCAAAGTGCTACTGTCTAGCTAGACATTTACCAATTTAATAAAGCAAGCAGCGTGAAATGTAATTTCCTTGTTTTATAATGATAATTATCACAAGGTAGATACAAATACAATTTTATTTATTGGAATCAAGTCCAAAATAAAAGTAAAATGACATTTGTATACCGAAAGTACCAACAGTAATGTTATTACAGCTATGCTGTCCCTCTTGTTCCCTGGTGGAGTCTGAAAACAGGCTAGTCTCATCTTGTGACCACATTGCTTAGTGACAGCCATTCTGGTAGTCCCTGGTTACTCTTCTTAAGAAAGAATTGCATTGGTTGTGACCTCTTGTGACCACAACTTCCAATTTCTTGCCTGCTTCCCCATTGACTTGTTTCGTGGAAAGCCAATGGGGAAGGTTGCAAATCATGAACATGGCATGTTGCGACAGTGAAAAGCCTGGGCCGGTTGCCAAGTGCTCCTTTTGCAATCACACAGCTGTAGGGGTGGTCAGCCCTCCAGCCCTCCCACACAAACCAGACAGGAAACATGGCAAAACTAATTTTACCTGATTGTAAAGCTACATGAGCAAAATCTTGCAAGTCCAAAGGCCCAAGCTTGCCTCCATTTTTAACTACTTGATTCGTTGGCGCAGGTTTTCCTAAGTTTCTCTCTCTGTTAAGTGGCTGCAGGTTCCTGCCCCTCTTGTCTAATTGTTTCCTAGTCAGCATATCCTCCTCTCTTTCTCCAAGATCATTCATACTTTCCATTGCAGATGCTGCAACAGCCAGAACTTTGCAGACCGGTCTCAGTGCCACCAGTTCAGAACTGTGGCAAGTCCAAAGAGTCTTGGAAAGTCCTTGAGTTTTAATTTTATTGGGAAAGCTTATTCTGTATCAGCAGGCCCTCAACCTTTTGGGCACCAGGGACCAGTTCCACGGAGAAAGATTTTTCCGCCCTCCGGAAGGAGCATGGTTCCACGTGTTGCCTGCATCCCACGGATGGGGCTTTGCTTGTTTGCGTGGACCGGTGTCTGGCATGCTGCAGACCGGTGCCGGTCCATGGACCAGAGGTTGGGGACCCTGTTCTATATAATCAACAGCTCTATGTGAGCAGAGCTGGGAGCTTTTGAGTTTCTTTCCAGTTTAGGGATAGGGAGGCTTTTAATTTTTTTATACTGTATTCATTCTGTGTTAGATCTTACTCTACAAAATTTGTGTTTCCCACCTCCAAGGGGCGGGAAATGATCCTGCCCATTTTGTTCACAGCAGATTCTGGTATCCCAGAGAAAACAGCTTTGGAGGGGTTTCATGTGGTGCTGAAACCCTAGGTACTCCACCCTGCCTTAAATTAAGAAATGCGTATCTTACACAAAAAGTAGGAGGATTGGAGATCTGAATAATGTCCTAGAAAGCGTGTCTTATTTAACAAATCTACCCAATTGCCGTAATTAAAATGAACATATTACCTAAAACAGTGGTTCTCAACCTTTTTATACGGCGACCCCCGGACATAAGCAGGCGGCGCGCATGCGCGGCGGCGCCCCCTGCGCGGCACACATGCGCGGCACTGCCCCCTGCGCTGGCTGACAAAAAAATTGGCGGATCACGTTGTTTGGCGACCCCGTGAAATGGTCGATCGACCCCAAATGGGGTCGTGACCCACAGGTTGAGAACCGCTGACCTAAAATATTTCTATTTCAGTGTATACCAATTAGATTAGAAAAGGAATTTTTTCGAAATGTCAACCAAATCATACTTAAATTCATTTGGCAAGGGAAAAAACCAAGGATTAAATTAAAATTATTACAGGATGCTAAGGAAAGGGGGGGGGGTCTCGGCCTCCCCGATCTGGAAAAATACTATCAATCTACAATTCTACTGTGGGTGTGGGATTGGATTCGACTGGAAAATAGGAGATTATTAAAACTGGAAGGTCATGACATGCAGACGGGACGGCATGCCATGTTATGGGATGAGAAGCATAAAGTTCACCAGTACTTCCGGAGGCACTACATCAGACGGGCACTAATAGATGTATGGATCAAAATTCGACGACAGAACTACAGGCAGGTCCCCAATTGGATCTCAACACTAGAAATGTACATACACCCAAGGTTTATTCAGTTGGGGAAAGTAATAACCTATAAAAACATACTAGACGAGAGAGGAGAATTAAAATCGAAGAATCTCCAAGATGCAGGGATAGAATTAGAATGGTGGACATACAACTACAAGCAAGATATAGGCAAGATAAAAAAGAGTGGGGTATAAAGATAGAACTGACAGAACTAGATAAAATTTTATTAAGTCCCGAGGATAAAATGATTAAAAAAATATATCATTTTCTTTTAGATCAGACAATGTATGAAGAACAGGTTAAGGAGACCATGTTAATTTTGAGTAGGGATTTTGGTTTTAGTATCGACCTACATATTTGGCAAGAACTGTGGGAAAGGAATAGGAAACTCACTTTAGCTACCTCATATAAGGAAAATCTTTACAAGATGTTCTATAGATGGCATTTCCCACCCGTAAGGCTAGCCAAAATGGGTTCAAACATCTCACCCCTATGCTGGAAATGTAAAACAGCATTAGGTTCATACTACCATATGTGCTGGGAATGCCCAAAGATCCGTGAGTATTGGAACAGGACACGAAACTGGTTGAGGGATATATTAACACTGGACTTAGACTTAAAACCTGAACTCTTCTTGTTGGGAATAATGACAGAAAAATACGACAAGGGAACAATCTACCTGCTGCTACACATCCTGATTGCAGCTAGGCTTGCTTTAGCGCAAAAATGGAAAAGCAAGGAAATTCCCACAGAGGAAGAGTTAATACATCAAATATTAGCATGTGCGGAAATGGACAGGCTCACAATGATATTAAAAGAAAAATGTGGATCAGTTTATTATGAAACCTGGAATAAATTTTACCGCTGGAGGAATTTGAAGAGGACAGTCGGGATTAAAGATGAATGTTAAGATAGAAATATATGTTATTTTAGAACAAGTATTGTATATAAAACTTAGATGTATATGTACAGATGAAGAATTGATTGTAAAAAGTGGAATAATCTGATAAAAATGTATATACTGGAATGTCACGTTAAATCCAATGTTTGTTTGTTTTTAACTGTATTATAAATAAAATTTGTAAAAAAAAAATCTACCCCTCCCCGCCTCTTGGAAGAGAATATATAAAAGAGACAGCACAATTTAGACAGTAAGCAAGTTTCAAGGCGGGGAGGGAAATTGTAAGGCCATCTACTGACGCCTGGAATTTATTTCTGAACTTTCTTGAACATGTTATCAGATAAAACATAGCTAGAATAAATAGAACGCATCATTTTACTGATCCTTGTTAACAGATAAGCCGCACTTAGGTAGGGTATTTGGTTCACACACGAGGGTGGGGGAATTTTATTACATTTTTAAACTTTGTTTAGAGACGGATGGGAAAGTCTTGCAGAAAAAAAGAGAAATGTGGGCCACTGTTTCTAAAACCAGCCCGTGTGCACATTGGGCTGGTGACTGCTGAGGAAAACACCTGCTCCTCTAGCAGTTGAGGGTTGGGGTGTGGGCCCTAGAAGTGAATGCTTGGTTAGTTCTAGAGAGGAAACAGACAGGGGGAAACAGAGAGTGGCAAGGTGAAAGTCCAGCGTTCTGGTGCATTCTTGAAGTCTTGGATGACAGCTGCTATTATCCCAATCTCTCCACTGGATGTAGAGAGCGCAAACTGAGGTCTCTTCAGAGCTGCATCAGATCACCAAACTGAATGCATGATGTTTGGGTCTCTAAGATGCAAATTGATTGTGTGTTTTTATTTTAATATAATATAATAATAAAGTTGGAAGGGACCTTAGAGGTCATCGAGTCCAACCCCTGCTCAGGCAGGAAACTCTACACCATTTCAGACAAATGGCTGTCCAGTCTCTTCTTAAAAACTTCCAGTGTTGGAGCATTCACCGCTTCTGGAAGCAGGTTGTTCCACTGGTTAATTGTTCTAACTGTCCGGAAGTTTCTCCTTAGTTCTAGGTTGCTTCTCTCCTTGATTAGGTTCCATCCGTTGCTTCTTGTCTTGCCTTCAGGCGCTTTGGAGAATAGCTTGACTCCCTCTTCTTTGGGGCAGCCCCTGAGATATTGGAACGCTGCTATCATGTCTCCCCTTGTCCTTCTCTTCATTAAACTAGACACACCCAATTCCAGCAGTCTTTCCTTATATGTTTCAGCCTCCAGCCTCCTAATCATCTTTGTTGTTCTTCTCTGGACTTTTTCTAGAGTCTCAGCATCTTTTTTACATTGTGGTGACCAAAACTTGGATGCAGAATTCCAAGCGTGGCCTTACCAAGGCATTGTAAAGTGGTATTAATACTTCACGTGATCTTTTCATGAATGAGGCTTCCAAGTATGCAGTTCCCCTTCCTCTCAGAATTCAAATTTGGTCAGCCTGGAAATATATGTTCCCCCTGCCATGGAGGGCTCTGTGTGGCATACAGGTAGTCCTTGACTTACAACCATTCACTTAGTAACTGTTCAAAGTTACAACAGCACTGAAGAAAGTCACGTGTGACCAGTCTTCACACAATCTTCACAGCACCCCCACAGTCACGTGAACAAAATTTGGGCACCTGGCAACCTGACTGGCTTTAGGACAGTTGCAGCATTCCCAAAGTCACATGATTCTCCATTTGCAACTTCCCTCGAACAGTCCATGGGGAAAGCTGGATTTGTTTAATGACCATGTGAGTCAATGGTCAGTCAGAGCTGAAGAAGCATCTTGGACGAGAAGCAAAACGTCTTCAAAGGAAAAGATAAACAGGAAAGTCCAGTTGCATTCTGAAAAAGCCCCTTTGGGGCCTACATGACCTGGATGACTGAGAATCTCCATAGACAATTATCTATGCACTTTGGGATGAACACCCTTCGAATCGCGAGGGAGTATGAATGGATTTCCAGAAAACATGGCAGACCACAGAAACCATTTGCGCTCCAGTTTGAGATTTAGACAACACGGACTCATCCCCAGCAGCTTGCGCCTGTCTACAACAGCAAAGGGACACAGGGCAGAAGACATCCTGCAGCCGAGGAGGCTCCACACACATTTTCACTGCTCAGGTGGCCCCGAGGACACAGAAAGACCTCCAAGTGGCCTCAATGACTCTCTAAAACAGACATGTCAAACACAAGGCCCGGCGGCCGGATGCAGCCTGCGAAGTGGTTTCATGTGGCCCATGAAGCCATCCTGGAAACAGTGAGGGAACGGCCCCCGCTGCCTTGGCCCTGGCCCAGGCCAGCCAGAAGCCAATGTACAATTTTGTGGTGACCATCTATGCTGAAACACATTCAGTCTTAGCTCCACAAGGCTGTCTGGAAACGGCTTGGTGCCGCAGGTGCTTGAGGGCCAGGCTGGGCGTTTGAACTCTGCTGCCCAGGGCTCCGGGCAGCCCGTGCCACCATCCATCCCACCCCGCATGGCCTGAGAGGAACACCCTTGATACGAATGATGTAGAGCTGGCTATGCCGACCCAGTAGGCCACACCCATTATCCATGCCCACCCAGTAGGCCACACTCACCTTGGCCATACCCACCCACCCCCCGAGGGCAACCGCAGTGCTGATGCAGCCCTCAATGAAATTGAGTTTGACACCCCTGCTCTAAAAAGAGTGCAAATGACCAGCTGTCTGTAAGGAATACAAATCCTTCCATTGCCCACCATCCAGTCCGTGCTGAAGAAGCTTCTTGGATGAGAAGCGAAACATCTTCAAAGAAAAAGAAAAACAAGAAAGTACAATTATCTACTGAAAAAGCACCTTTGGGACAAACATGACGCGGATGACTGAGAATCTCCATAGACATTGACTGCGTGAGTCACTTAACAATCATGGCAAGAAAGGGTATGAAATCAGCTCTGACTCAATTAACCTTTTTGCTTAGCAATGGAAATTCGGGTTCCAACTGTGGTCATAAGTTGAGGATTAGCTGCATGGTACATGATATAATTTGATTGTGGCATCACTGCTGCAAATGCCTGTCAGATAGTTTACTCATTTACGAAATGAAACTTTTCTCTATTCATAACGTCTGGAATATATTCATCCTTTCCCCCTAAAAGAAATGAAAAAAGATAATGTTCTCTCCACCGTAGCTGAAAAATGTAGGTGACCTGTCATTTTGTATTGATTATGTTGATTTTATCAGGCTTTGGGGTTGTGTTAAGATTAGTGAAAGAAAACAGAGTTAAGAAATTGAACTTCGAATCAGTCCTCTCTACCAGTTTCCATTACAGCAATCACAGCATTCATTTCCAAACATCTGACGAGAAATCAGATGTTTTTTCATTATCTGAGCATCTTGATTATTATCAGACATCTGCCATCGTTGGCTTCTAACACTTCTTAAAGTAGTTCTGTAACTTCCTTTCGAAGACCAACACAATTATTGTGCCATAATGTTCAGTTCATTATGTGTAAGGCAATTTAACTTAGATGGTTTCCTGTAATGGGGTATTATCAGGTAGGCTTACGTTTCTGGTGCCTGAAATGTGGTATTTCCTTTGAATTGTGACAGAAGGAAGCAGAGGTTGTTTCCATAGTATTTGTTGTTGCTACTAACACTCAATTTCATCTACTTCTCAATCTAACAGTGACCTCTGGAGTCTGGAATCAGAGTAATTAACAGCACTGGGATTTATTCAACAGGTCACCGACAAGAGAGATGTCTTCTTTCGGGAAAGGAAGCTGCCAGGGTATTTTCCTGGCTTTGGCCAGGCTGTTGGGCGTTCCAAACCAAGTGGCATAAAGGAGACAAGTGAAATCTCAGGTGATGGTTGCTTGGTTTTTATTCAAATTTATCAGCCACCCAACTCCAGTGGTTATAACTGTTTACTGCAGATTCATTCGGAGTTCAGCAAATCCAAAACTGTGGTTTGAGTTTGGTGCTGCAAATACCTATTTTATTAGTTGGTTCTGCTATTCAAGCTTGTCCTGACCTTCCCAGCTGTTGTGCCCTGCAGTTGTGTATGGGATTGCAACTCCCATTAATTCCCAGATGCCAACACATCTGGACAGAGAGAGAGTCCCAAAGGTTGTCCTGCCCTCTGCATAGAACCTTTTTTATTTTATGCTTAGAGCTTAAACTGGTTGTATCCAGATAATAGCATACTAATTGTAACTTGGATATCTCTCATTCATCAGATAAATACTGAGTTAAGGCACTGTTGAAAATGTCCATTTACAGTAGATGCTTTTGTTTGTGCAAAAAGCTACAATAATCAGACATAAGGAAGGCTGAAAAAGAATGTGCAATAGTTATAGATAATATTGAGTAAAAGTTTGACCACAGGACCACTGGAGTCCCCTTTTGTGCTAAAAATCTATGTTTCTGTATTAGACATATATCACAATTTTTTTCAGGAACTCAAGCTACCATGTATAGCGCTCCCTCCTATTTCTCATATGATTGTGGGTGGTTTTAATACAGTGGTGGTGAACCTATGGCACATGTGCCAGAGGGGGCACTCGGAGCCCTCTCTGTGGGCATGTGTGCCTCACTCTTTGGTTAAGTTTTCGCAGGAAAAAGCCATTTCTCAAGCCCCTTCCTAGCCAAAACAAGCCTCCGGAGCAAGCATGCTGTTTTCAGCTTTGAATTATATGAGATCTGACACCAGAAACAGACTAACAGATGACCTGAGTGCTGCATGTGTTGCTCTCAAACTTACAAAATATAAGCCAAGGTTAGGCAAATTATCAGCATGCATACAACAGCAGAAATCACATTAATTGTTCAAAAGCATGCCAAATGGAAACTTTTACCTTTCAGTAAAAAGTTGTTGGTATCATTGAAAGCTTTGTTATTGTGTTTTTCTTTTAAGACAAAAGATGTTAATGTATGAGTTGTTTTTTCTGAACTAAAACCTCAGTATTCAGATTAAATTGCCATGTTTGCACTTTGCGATAATTAAGTGGGGTTTTGGGTTGCAGTTTGGGCACTCGGTCTCTAAAAGGTTCTCCATCACTGTTTTAATACAACTATACAGGTAGTCCTCAACTTACAACAGTTCATTTAGTGCCCCTTTGAATTACAACACTACTGAAAAAAGTGACTTATGACTGTTTTCACATTTACAACCGTTGCAGCATCCCCAGGGTCATGTGATCAAAATTCAGACATGTGGCAACTGGTTCATACTTATGATAATTGCTGTGTCCCGGGGTCATGTGATTCCCTTTTGCAACCTTCTGATAAGCTAAGCCAGATTCACTTAACCATGTTACTAACTTAAAAGCTGCAGCGATTCACTTAACAACTGTGGCAAGAAAGGTCGTAAAATGGGGCAACATTCACTTAAATGTTTCACTTAGCAACGGAAATTTTGGGCTCAATTGTGGTTGCAAGTTGAGGACTTACCTGTACCCCTGAAAAGAAGCCTACAGATACAATTTAAGTTAATTAAAATGAAATCTCAGCATGGCTGTGTCATTGTCCACATACCCCATAAAGCAGGGCTTTTCAACCTTTTCACCCATTGTACCACTACTACATCCGAGTACCACCAGTCGCCTAGCAAGGCGTCAAAAACTTGATGACCAAAAAAAAAGGAAAAAAGTAATGAAGTACAGATAGTCCTCGACTTACAACAGTTCGCTTAGTGACTGTTTGAAGTTACAATGGCACTGAAAAAAGTGCTCCCCAAGACACAGCCGAGCAAGACACCTGCCTGCCCACCCAGTGGTGCTCTTCCTCCTGTCCGAGGTTTTCATTGTTGTGAGCATTTCTGTTGAGGATTGGCAGCGGGGGTGGGGTGGGGGGTGTTTGGTTTTATTCCCCCTGTCTGCTGGGTGGTTGCAGCAAGTTTTGGTCACTTCACATGACCCTGGGACACTGTGACCGTCATAAATATGAATCAGTTGCCAAGCATCTGAATGTAAATTACAAGACCCTGGAGATGCTGCAACATTCCAGCTGATCGGTGCTTCTTCTGGGCTTAGCAGAAGCGCCAGGATCAGCGCCGAGCTTCAGCTGGAGCCTGGCACTGATCCTGGCACTTCCACTGAGCCCTGACAGCCCCAAAGAAGCGCTGATCCTGGCACTTCCGCTGAGCCAGGCTTGTGTGGTGCTGCCACCGGTTCAACTCATTCCCCTCCCCCCTATCACTTTTCTAGGATGGTTGCGTACCACCTGCCAGGTGCCAATGTACCACAGGTGGTACCCATACCACTGGTTGAAAAGCCTTGCCATAAAGCATCTGCTTGTGAAATCCTATCTTTTGGCAGGTCCTAAACTCACCATGGAACAATTTTTGAACAAACTTCCGAAGTCATTGGTTCGAGATGGGCAAGTAATAGATATCCGGGAAGATCTTAAAAAGACCCTTCAGGTAAGGGTCTAATTTTGTATCCCCCTCTTTGAAGCGCCAAAGAAAGAAATGTAACCGAGATCTCAAAAAGCTATTTTAGAATGATTACCAAGCTTTCTTGTTCTTTTCTAAATAGCACTAGTTAAGAAAGCGTCCTTTCTTTTTGATCTTTAAATGTGTGGGCTGGAGGAGCAGAAGGGCATCGTCTGACTTAATGTCTCTTAGGGCATTCAAACATTGGCCTACATTTCCCTCTTTGCTTCCAGGGCCTGGATGGAGCACAAAGCCATGAAGTGGTTTTGGTGGAGACGCCCAGCCTTACAGCACTGAGGAAGAGGTAAACAAGCCTCCAGAATCCTCGCTGATGCTTTTCCTCCGAGTATGTCTCGTTATGGCAGAAATCCAAACCTGGAGTGAGCAAGAGTAAAACTAGGAACACCTTTTAGCCTTGTTTTGAGGTGGAATCATAGGCGATGAAGCACATACCTTACATGTAGAACCCTCTTAGATAGGATTCTGCCATCTGCATTAACATTGGATGAAATAGATGATGGAGAAGTCCTTTTGCTTGAGACCGTGGAAGGTGTTGATAGTAAATGTAGATAAAATGGACTTAAATGGATCAGTTTGGAAGTCTGAACTCGTCCCCTGCATATCCCAGATTTTATAAGAACATAAATCTTGCGTGAAGTTACCAAAATCTTTTTGTGTGTGTGTGAAAAAAGAAATGTTAATTTTGGGTTTTTTTCTTCCGTTTTTTGTGCATCATCCTCTATTATTTTCAGAGAACAGCTTGTATCAATCAATCAATCCAACAAACACATCTGAAAGAATTGGGGGCACTTTTAAGAAAGCTTGACTCCTTTTCAGTTTGAGGTGTTAGTGTGCCAGCCTCAGTATATCTTCCATTTCCATTCTAATCCGATTATGCACCTAACTCAGGGGTAGGCAACCTTGGCTCTTTTATGACTCGTAGACTTCAACTCCCAGAATTCCTGAGCCAGCAAAGCTGGCTCAGGAATTCTGGGAGTTGAAGTCTATGAGTCATAAAAGAGCCAAGGTTGCCTACCCCTGACCTAACTGCTCCAGAGAAGCTGAGTCTCCCATATTTTATAATTTAGTGGCCATTCCCACCCAAGTCACGTGCAGGCCCCCATTTTTCTCGAGACTCCTTTGCATGCTGGAGTGATGGATTATGGATGTTAAGTTTTTGTGTGGCAGAAACAAAACCAGCACAAGCTAAATAAAGAAAATTATATAGTAATCTTCCTCAGTCCATGTGTATTGGGATTGTAGCATGACTAAAATCTCTGCTTTCTGGGAATGGTAGATCCAATAGCACAGGCTGCATTTTTTTAAAAAAGGGTGACCACACCTACCAGTGTGCCTGGGTTATTCTGCCCTCCTTAAAGAAGCCATGGTTTCCATCACCATCTCCCTTTAACTCCTAGACTGGAAGGCAAGCAGAAAACAGAAGGGCCTGGCACCAACATTTCCACTCTTCGGATAAAATCAGAGGACGGAGAGAAGACATACATTGTCAAAATGTCATTCACAGAGACTATTGGACACTTGCGCCAACACCTTGCTCAGAACAGGTAGGACAAATGATTCCAGGGAAATTTGAGGATGGTAATTGTGGCAAACAACGGTTTGCACTGAAAAATGAGCTCTGTCTGTAAACTTCCTTCCCAAATGTCTTTTCTACAAAAAAAAAAAGATGCATTTTTTTTCTGAAACTGGGCTACCGGAACAGCAGTTCTCCAAAAGACAGAGGTATTACTTGAAATTTGGCATGCAGGAGAAAAGTAATATCAAAAAGGATTTTATTGATCTGATAATATTTTCCTTTCAGATTGATTTAAGAGATACCAATAAATCTGGAATATAGATAGTCCTTGACTTACAACCATTCATTTAGTGACAGTTCAAAGTTATGGCACTGAAAAAAGTAACTTAACGACCGCTTTTTACACTTACGACAGTTGCACATCCCCACGAATCATGTGATCAAAACTCAGGTGCTTGGCAGCTAATATGCGTTTGTGACAGTTGTCTTGGGGTCATATGATCACATTCCCTGTCAGCTTCTGACAAGCCAAGTCAATGGGGGAAGCCAGATCTAATTTAGTTAACCGCTGCAATGATTCGTTTAACGACTGTAGCAAAAAGGTCATAAAATAGGGCAAAACTCTTAACAACTGTCTGGCTTAGTAATGGAAATTAGGAGCTTAGTTGTGATTGCAAGTTGAGGACCACTTATAACTGATTTTTTAAATAAAAGTAATAAAATAAAAGTTAAAAAAAGTAAAAAAAACCCATCTGTAATCATTTAAATCAGTGGTTCTCAACCTTTTTAATGCCGCGACCCCCAACCGGTCGTAAGTCGAGGACTACTCAACCAGTCGTAAGTCGAGGACTATTCAACTGGTGCAGCACCGTTTGCAGAATGGGACTTTTGGTGGGCTCAGCAGGGCAGAGACAGCCTGGACAATTCCTATTGGCTTTTGAAAGCCAATAGAATTAGACTCTATTCAAGAGAGCCTATTCTATTGGCTTTCCTAAGCCAATAGAATAAAAGGGAGTAGCACAGCTAAGGAAAAGGGGAAAAAAATGGCGGACTGCGTTGTTTGACGACCCCCGTGAAATGGTCGTTCGACCCCAAATGGGGTCCCGACCCACAGGTTGAGAACCACTGACTTAAATCCAAATTCAGAAAGGTCACTGGATTGGAAAAGTTGGACGGTGTAAAGTGAGTCTGTTTACAAAGCTGGTTCTACTCTCTTCTAGGGGTGAAGCAGTGGAGCCTTACGAGATCCTCAGCACGTTTCCCCTTCGGGTGTATAACAACGAAGCTGTGAGCCTTGAGGAATGTGGGCTGGTCCCCAACGCATTCCTTCTTCTGAGGAAAAAACTCCCTCCCGCCAAAGCAGGAGAGGAATAACTGCAATGGTTCCCAGTAGACTTGGCTGCCGTCCAGCTAGGACGTTGTGTGCCTTCTTCTGCTTCTCCAAGGTAGCTGCTCGGATACGGGCCAAAGATCTAACTGTGTAAGAGCAGCTCCAGGATGGAAACAAGTAATACTTGTGGTTCCAGCCACACAGGTTAGAACTAGCCACTGTATTCCCTCCCACTCCCGTCCCCCAAGTAAACAAGCCAGGGCAAACTAAATGAATGTTGGATGGCTTAGATATTGGCAACATTACACTAAGTGGACTTCAACTCCCAGAATTCCCCAGCCAGCCACAGAGCTTTATGCAACACTTTATTTCCTACCCTAACGGAGGTAAAGACTTTAGCCTTACGTGTCTCATTCTACCCAACCCGAAAGGAACTAAAATAAATTAGCTTTTATTACCATTCGTTTAGGAACGTCAGACTATTTCGGCAAGAAAAACGGTGGAGTAGTCAATGCCAGCTGGCAACTTCTTGAGCATTGTAAAGCTTTTGTAAAACACAATACCCATTTGGGGCCTGCTACTCCCCCCCCCCAGCAAGATATAGCACCATTTCCTTTGTACTCCAACTTTGTAAATCATAAGCAGGAAAGGTGGACATTTCTGGATCATCAAAGGAGACGGGGCAGGAGAGAGAGAGAGAGCTTTCTCTCTGTGAGCAGATTTAATGTATGGAGCAGACAAGTACCCAAAGCAAAGGAGGACCAGAGTGGTCCAGCTATCTTTTTCTGGAAGAGCTGTGGCTGCAAGGGCTAACTGTGAGCTTTCCTCAGTTGTGTCTCTCTGGATGTCACAAATTCAGCTCCCAGCTGCCCTCTACTCCATTATCTTTTGGTTCTTCCCGCTGGGAGATTATGAGAAGTCAGCATTCTGAATAGGAGTTGAGTGGGAGTGACCGAGTGCAATAATGCATCCAGTTCCAGCCAACTTCCTTCTCATTGTTTGTCTTCTTTCAGCAGAAAGTGCTTTATTATGACTTACCTAAGCCTTTTATTACTCATTGTGGCTATTATGTAACACGAAGTACCCAGAGTTTGTTAATTTATGTTCTAAAGTAAGCTTATTTCTTACTGTTGTCACTAGTTTTGTACCCACTGAGTCCCATTTTTTGAACGGGTTAATTTACCTGTCCCTTTGTCTTGTCTGTTTGGATAAAGACTTGAAGTATTAAGCAAACGACACCTTCTGAGTCTTTGTAGACGTTTGAAAGAAGGCAGGCTGGATTTCTTCAGCATCCAAGTATTCTGTTGATGCCCAGTCTTTCCTCCCTTGGGGTTCGGACCTTACAGACTTATATCAGGATAGGGGTTGAATTATGCATTAAATTCCCCTCCTTGTAGCTGCAGTTCCTTTCATGCAGAAAACTAGATGAGCAAATAGAAAGCTTTAATAATTAAAAGCACCTTTTGCCAGCAACAGCATCTATAGTGGTATGGTTTTATATAAGCCCAGGTGCTCTATGTGCAAGGCCTTTCTGACCAGGAAGAATATCTTAAAACATTTACCACTCTTCCTAAGCCTGTCACAAAGTTGCAGACATGTATTCATTACACAAAAGATATGCTGGATGCTTTTCCTCAACTTTAAAAATCAGTTTTGGTGCTACTAAACCAGTTATTTCAGCAACTTACTTTTGCTATCGTAACTGCATTCTACACACATAAGATGCTTGCAGTCAACTCAGGTGGTATCTTCACTTAAAGAGCAGTGGGGTGGACAAATGCTTCATTGTCATGAGAATACATCTCTAAAATTGCCTACCACCATGGATCCAGAAAATTTGACAAATTGTGGTAGCCATTAGGGCTATTGATTTGGGGCTGAGAGCTGCCGTGTGGATGTCATCTGGATTTTTACAGAACAGATGTGATAAGCCTAATATTCAATTGAGGGTGAAGCTTTAGAATCTGTAAAAATCTAATGCCAGAGCAAGTATATTGCCATTGTTCCCAGTTGCAATCCGCCCCCCCCCCCAAGTAAATTGGCTTCTGGTGTCCAAGGCCCATGCCGATCTCCTGATGTTTAAAAACAGTGATGCTGGATTTTCACCAGGATTTTTAGAAAGTATTCTGTGTGATGCTGTTTGGACCATAAACACTCCAAATATTCCCATTGGACAATGCCCTCATTAATACAGCATGCTCAGCCAAAATTTGCTCAACCATGGTATTCTGAATAACTGTTAATTGATTGAATTTACATAACAAGCCAAGCCCAATATGATTTAAATTTTTGGTTTTGCATGTTGTATTCAGATGTGTTTCTCCCCCCCCCCTCCTTTCTCTACTTGAACAATAGACTCATTCTCCAAATGTTTATCTGTATGTAACCAAAGCAGTGCTGTGTGCGTACAAGAGGGAAATTGTAGTAAGCCAATTTAACCATAGTCCAACTGAGCTTCCCACCTACACTTAGTGTGGGTGGGGAAAAAAATGAATACTGTAACATGTACTCTTCGATGAACGAGGGAACTCTTTTTGGCAACTTATACAATTGTGAAGTGCAACAGCAGCTGATGTTTTTATATTTACTAGCTCTTCCTCTCTAGGAGGCAAAGAGAATGATGGTGATTGGTCCTTAAAGCAAGAGGGCAGGATGCATTAAGAAATTCTTGTCCCTTTTGCATTATTTTCACTAAAAGCCAACCTCGCACGTTGCCTCATATTTCAGTACTAGAGAAATGTGAAAAGTCTCTTTTCTGGGAACAAAACTGGCCACTGAACCCTAGACACAGGGGACAATTTTCACAACACAAAACAGTGCAATGATTTAGTGCAGTGTTTCTCAACCTTGACAATTTTAAGGCATGTGGACTTCAACTCCCAGAATTCCACAGCCAGCAATGCTGGCTGTGGAATTCTGGGAGTTGAAGTCCACATGCCTTAAAATTGTCAAGGTTGAGAAACACTGATTTAGTCTTACATTCCACATCTCTTGCCCATAAAGACTGCAAAAAGCCCAAACACTGCCAAACACTAAATCCTGTTTCAGATACATATTGCTGTAGGAGGCAGTTGCACCAAACGCTTCGTTATATTTCTGTCACTCTTCTGACAACATTCTGCATTTTTTTTCTAAAACACTCCCACACACCCAATATTGCCCAAGTATAACAATGGACGTAATTGAATTGCTAAGAGTTAGAAAACAGATTTCCAAATAAATGAACAGAGTGGCATCCAATTTCTGTGTACAACCAGACCGTGTTTTTTTTTTCTTAAAAAAAAAAAGCACAGAACCACTGTGATGGAGGTTTTTAGCAATATTTAATGGCATCTTAACAAAAACATGGCTGTTTATAAATTTTGCTTTCAGAAATAATAAAAAAAAAGAAAAGAAAGAAAATGCACTTGGTCCAAGTTTGCAAAAAGCCAGTTCCAAGAAAGGGGAAGCATGAAACAGCTGAGGCCAGAATAGAGTGGAAATTACTTTCCCCTCTTGGGGAAGCAGGAAAGAGTTTTCCATTGCCAGTTGGAACATAAGGAAAAAAGCACTAATGGACTCGGAGGAATGTTCTCGCCACCCCCTCAAAAACCACTTTAAGAAAGGCTGAGCTACATCACCATGTTTTAAGAGAGATACATACACATGCTCACCCCACTAACCACTGGCAGAGAAGGCAACAGGAGCACTTTTTGCATTGCTAGACACGAGTAATCTCACTAAGAGCAGATATCTGCTGTTCTCTTTCCTGGGTTAGAATGAAAGAGGAAGTACAGCAGGGGTTCTCAACCTTGGCAACTTTAAGACTTGTGGACTTCAACTCCCAGAATTCCTCAGCCAGCAAAGCTGGCTGAGGAATTCTGGGAATTGAAGTCCACAAGTCTTAAAGTTGCCAAGGTTGAGAACCCCTGAACTACAGGAACTGACATTTTGCACATTGAAGGACGTATGGTGATAAGAAGCAACCAGCTCTTCCCTTTTAATACTAAGGGCCGTCTGAGCTTGAAAAAGAAAAGGGGGAACAGAAAAGTAGGGGAAAGCTCTGCTTTCCAAGGTCCTTAATTAGAAGATTAACATCAGTCTACCGCCATAGGCAGGAGGAGACAGGCCCAGCTACATTCAAAGGAACCAGCCGGTTTTTGGAGACCACAGTGAAAGAGGAAACGCAATTCAGAGGCAGTTGGAGAAGAGGTTGGTCGCACAGAGCTGACAATCACTTAGGAGGTGATCCATCTGGAATGCAGAATTTCCAAATCCTGGATGGTTGTCATGTGGGGCAGGGAAGAAGCAAGCTCAGGCTAACTTCAGGAATTCCTGCAGGGTGTTCTGTTCGACCGCTTCCACAAACAGTTCGTAGTCCTATAAGGTGGGAGAAAAATAAACTAAAAAAAAAAATAGGGACAGATGCAGTGAAAGGCTAAGAATGTCTTAGCGTCGAACCAAAAACTGCCTCTGGAGCCAAACAAGGAGCACAGCCCTCATTACAGAAGGCTCAAAGCTCAGCTAAAGACCTGTTCTTGTGCATCAAAACTGTTTATATAGCCCTTTCCCTTTGTAATCCTCTCCAGATACTTATTTTCACTTAACAACTGAGAGGTTAATCACAAGTCAAAAGTAACGTTTCAGGTAACACAAATATTACTTACATTGCTTAAGTACAGTTGATGCTATTGCCCCCATGTATTTCTTCCCCTTCTATCTTATGAAAACCACGATTTGATGGAAACATCTGCAGAATCCCTAGGACAGTGATGGCGAACCTTTTAGAGACCGAGTGCCCAAACTGCAACCCAAAACCCACTTATGCATCGTCGGGTGCCGGGTGGGTGTGGCCAAGTGGGTGGGTGTGGCTGTGGTGGTAACGGCAGACTGGGTGGGACTAAAAAGTTCAATCAATTCCAACTTTGCAAGATCTTTTTTTTCCCTGTGAGAAGTTGAAATTGACTGATTGAACCCTTTTTTTTTGCACACGGTGGCGGATGCCTAAAGTGAAAAGGTTTTATAAAACTCAGCTGAAGGCCTAGGACTGGGATGATGGCGCATGTGCCCACAGAGAGGGCTCTGAGTGCCGCCTCTGGCACCCGTGCCATAGGTTCGCCACCACTGTCCTAGGAGAAACACCTGAAACCTTCAACTAAATGGCTTGTTGGCCTTCTTGCTCAGACATCAGCCTGGGTGTGTATCCAGTAACAACTACTGTGAAAGCCACGAATGTCTTATATGTTCTCTGCTGTCTTCCTTTCATAGCTGTTCTGTCTGATACAAACAGAGACACTCCCCACTATGAACTATACCCAGGATGTGGCCCAAGTATCAGGGACAGGCCTGTATCTTTCAGCATTAATAGAGTCTGTAAATACTAGGCAATGTCTGAAAAATCCTTCCCCCCCCATAGAACAAGGCCAGCAATCACTCTGATATGACGGCACTTTCACAAATGACAGTAAATGCTTTTTAACCTGCAATATGTCACTTGTCAGTATAAAGTGTCATCAAATTAAGGCACAGAATTAGAGATTTTTAGAGATACTTTCAGGTAAAGTAGAGTATCCTTAAGCCCACAGGGCTGCTTACTTCTGCAAACGTCCTTTTGACTTTGTCAGGAAACGGCTGAAGAGCATAACACAATTTAGACTGGAGTCAATATTCATTTTCCTCTCGATGAGATGCATCACTAGAGTCTATTAATATTTCCTCCTGCTGTCAGCAAGCCAAATGACTCTTCATCGCCCTTACATTAATTATTCATTTTATATTCTGAGACATTTTGTAATAAGCACCTAAAAGGGTATGGAAATATATAGAAAGAAGTGGGATTTTCCCTCCCTGTCTTAGCAAGATTCCCTGTCTAGTTTCATGCCAAGCCCAGCAAGATTACAGTTTTTCTTTAACTTCCTCAAGGGCCTTTCGCTGTAGCAGGTGCTATTAAAAATGTTTGGAAATAGCAAGTGTTGCCCTACACTTCATATCTGAAAAAGGACTGTTGACAAAAAACCATTTAAACATTTGCTGGAGGTGCCTAAATCTCCAGATGCAGAACCCCTCCAGATGTTGATGAACTACAACTCCTAGCAGCCCCACCAGCATGGCCAATACTGAGGGATGCTGGGAGTTGTAACTTAGCAATTTTTAGAAGGATAGACGGCTCCTTTCACCATTCTAAATAATACAAATTGATACGGTCATACTACACATAAGGAGTTGTTACTCTGAGCTACTTCATGCACAGCTCTTGTCATGCAGGCCATTCATTCATTAGCATTAATGTTGAAATCTTGGCCTAGTCACAAAATGAGGCCACCAGAGCCAATATTCCATCATATGATTGTAGACTAGCTTCTATGTAAAACTACAAGTTAATGATTAAAAGCCAGAATTTCCAGCTGGCTTAGCCAAGAGTCTTGCTGACTAGGAATTCTGGTTAATACAAGGCCAATATGCATGGAGAGTACAGCAAGAAGGGCAACATTAATTCAGGCCAACAGAACTGAACGAAGTCCAGGTTAAAAGCAAAAGAAGCAATGAAGCCAAGAAATGAACAATTAATGTAAAACAATTGTGAGAGACGCCAGATGGCAGCACTTAGACAAACTTGGCTGATCTTTACAAAGGGAAAAAAAATTGATGAAGCAGGGATGGGCATTATATTCACCAGGAAATTCAAGACTGGGAAGTTAAAAACGAAACACACCCTGGAAAAAAAGCTAATGGCACTGGCAAACCACAGCCGTATTGTAGCCAAATCCATGGATACTCCCATGCCAGGAGATTGAGACTGACTCAAAGACACATTGACCACAATCATGACTGGTCCTTTATCCACCTCCAATTTTTTTTATGCCCTTGTTAAATCTTGGACTATACCAGTGGTTCTCAACCTTTTTAGTGCCGCGACCCCCAACCGGTCGTAAGTCGAGGACTACTCAACCGGTCGTAAGTTGAGGACTACTCAACTGGTGCAGCACCGTTTGCAGAATGGGACTTTTGGCGGGCTCAGCAGGGCAGAGACAGCCTGGACAATTCCTATTGGCTTTTGAAAGCCAATAGAATTAGACTCTATTCAAGAGAGTCTATTCTATTGGCTTTCAAAAGCCAATAGAATAAAAGGGAGTAGCACAGCTAAGGAAAAGGGGGAAAAAATGGCGGACTGCGTTGTTTGGCGACCCCCGTGAAATGGTCGCTCGACCCCAAATGGGGTCCCGACCCACAGGTTGAGAACCACTGGTCTATACATTTAGGTCAATTAAACATCTTTAAACATTTATTTCAAAGTACATTTACTTTGAGCTAAACATGAAACCATTTTGTTGTGGAGGTAGTAGTGGGCACCTGTGTGTGTGTGTGTGTGTGTGTGTGTGTGTATGCCTTTGAGTCAGTTTTGACTCCTGGCGACTGCCTGGACAAGTCCGCAGTTTTGTTGGCATTAACACAAAGGCACAGTGAATAGCCACACGGACCAGGATGCATTCAAGTGGCTCGTTCTTAATGAGATGCGAAACATTAAAGTTGCTCCTGCTGCCCCAGGGAAAACTTTCCCAAACTGTAATGTAAAATACAGCACCGGTTACCACCCCGTGCCAGGGGCCACTCACCCCGCAGTAGTGGTCCCCGTTGAAAATCTGGGGAGGAATGGCTTTGGGGTTGCCTGACTTGGTCCTCATTTCTTCCCGAAGGGCATTGTCTTGGGAGATATCCACCAGGTTGTACTTGACATTCTTTCCATCCAAGATCCTGGTCACTTCACTCTGCTGGGATTTGATCTGTGGGGCACACATGCCAGGGGGGGAAAAGGAAGAGAAAAGGGGAAGAGGGCGAATCGTCCTGCACTGTGACATGAAGAGAAGGCAACTGATCCCACACATCAAGGCAACTGCAACACTAAGAACCAGAGGCAGCCTACTTCCAGCGAGTGAATCCAATCCTAGCTAAAGAGAGGCAGATTCCTCCACTAGAGATCAAGGAGATGGCAGGCCCCCAACAGAGGCAAGGAAGACCCCATGCCTCGGGAGTCCTGGGGGGGGGGTGGAGAAAGAGCCTTTGGTAAAGGAAGACCCTCCCTCCCCTTTGTCACAGGGTTGGAGTTCTTCCCGTTCAGCTTTTCCTCAAATTGCTCAAGTGTCTCCACTGGCGTGGGCGGGAATTTGGAACCGAGAAGGAGGGCTCCCCCTTACACTTGAGGAAGAGCCAGGGGTCCACCCTCGCGAGGAGCCTAAAGGGAAGAGCAGCCCGTCTGAAGCCAAGGGGAAAGATGGATAGCCCGTCCTCCAGATGTTCTGGCTGGAGCAGGGGTAGGCAACCTTGGCTCTTTTATGACTCGTGGACTTCAACTCCCAGCATTCCTGAGCCAGCATAGCTGGCTCAGGAATGCTGGGAGTTGAAGTCCACGAGTCATAAAAGAGCCAAGGTTGCCTACCCCTGGGCTGGAGGATGAAGAGACCAGCACATCTGGAAGACCTGGCTGGCGGGAGGCGAGAGCAGGACCGTTCGGGGCGGAGGGCGCAGGCAGCCGCCACTGGAGGAAGGGGACGAAGGGGGGGAGAAGACCCCACCCCCGCAGGCAGCGCATACTGCAAAGGGGCGGCATCGATTTCTTGCACGGGCGGGGGGCGGCTGCGCCGGGCTTACCTCCCGAGAGCCGGTCACCGAAGTGCTGTAGATGGTGAGACAGGCCATGGCGCTCGTCGCTTCCAGCCGCTCCCTCTCGCTGGGCTGCCCGGTAGGCGGACGGGTGGATGGAAGGAAGGGGAAGGAAGCGAAGCGCTGGGCAGGGCTCCGCTGCCTCCCGAAGGCCAGCCGGCACGTGATGGCAGCCCGACCAATGGGGCGAGCGGCCGCGAGCATGCGGAACAGGCGGCGCGCCAGGCTCGGCTCCGCTCGACTCTCCTCAGCCGGCTGAGCTGCGGTCCGAGGCGGCCGCCGGAGGGCTCCCGAAAGGTGCAGAGCCCGCCGCCCGACTCTTCCGGAGCTGCAGCCGCGGGCCTCCTCGCCGCTCTCCCGGAGCCCCCCGCCCAGAGTGCCGCTGGGCTGGCGGCCGAGGAAGGGCGCGGAAGGTCTCCGACTCATCAACTGGCAGCGCTTCTCGATGCCTTTGTGGGCAAATTCAGCCGTCGTGGATACAGAATCATTGTTCCGCTAATCCCTAAGTCTATATTGCAAATACTTTGCTTTTTTCTTTTTCTTTTTACAAATTCTTTATGCTTGTTTGTGTCCCTGCTCACCAATCCCCGACCTTCCTATTTTCAGCTCCTTTTATTAGCAAAGATGGAATAATGGCAGCTGTAAAAAAAAAAAAATAGCCACGGTGGGCTCTGTTTTTACTTGTTTCTTAGGTAACTAGGCTACTGCTATACGTTCACCGTTAGAATAGAGCAGGAAGGGATCTTGGAGGTCTTCTAGTCCAGCCCCCTGCTCAAACAGGAGGACCTGTACCATCTCAGACAAGGGACTGTCTAGCCGCGTGCGGTGTTTCTCAATCTCGACAATTTTAAGGCATGTGGACTTTAACTCCCAGAATTCCACAGCCAGCATTGCTGGCTGTGGAATTCTGGGAGTTGAAGTCCACATGCCTTAAAATTGTCAAGGTTGAGTAACACTGCTAGAGCCAGGGGTAGGCAACCTTGGCTCTTTTATGACTCGTAGACTTCAATTCCCAGAATTCCTGAACCAGCCATGCTGAGGGGAAAGGGAGGTTTCCAAGCTGAGCCATGCTGGCTCAGGAATTCTGGGAGTTGAAGTCCACGAGTCATAAAAGAGCCAAGGTTGCCTACCCCTGGGACTCTAGCCTCTTCTTAAAAACCTCCAGTGATGGAGCACCCACAATTTCTGGAGGCAGGTTGTTCCACTGGTTAATCGTCCTCACTGTCAGAAAGTTTCTCAATTCCAGGTTGCTTCTTTCTTTGATCAGTTTCCAACCATTGTTTCTTCTCCTGTCCTCTGGTGCGCTTTGGAGAATAACGTGACCCCCTCTTCTTTGTGGCAGCCCCTCAGATACTGGAACACTGCTATCATGTCTCCCCTATTTCTTCTTTTCTTTAGACTAGCACTAGCCAAAACCAATTCCTGCAGCTGTTCTTCGTATGTTTTAGTCTCCAGACCTTGGATCATCTTAGTTGCTCTTCTCTGAATTTTTTCCTGACTCTCAACATCTTTTTTGTGGTATGGTGACCAAAATTGGCTGCAGTATTCAAGGTGTGGTCTTACTAGGGTTTTATAAAGCAGTACTAATATACCTTGCGTGATCTTGATTCTATGCCCCTGTTTATACAACCCAGGATTATATTAGCTTTTTTGGCTGCTGCTGCACACTGCTGGCTCATAGTCAAGTGATGTCCCTCTCACAGGTGCTGTTTTTAAGCCACGTCTCACCTAATCTGTACTTGTACCTTTGATTTTTTCTGCCTAAATATTTTGAATCTGAATTTATTTGCAACAATTTTATTGTTATACTGTTTGCATCAATAAGAAATATGTACAATTTCAATAAAAATACATTTTTTTAATTTCTCATTTAAGAGTCAGTCATTAGGTCCAACGTTCCATGTAATTTGATTAAAAGCAACTCTGCCAAAGCAAAGAACTTTTTTTCCTTTTTCTTATTTTTAAAATAAGTTTAATTTCTTTTGAAAGAAATATGTTAAAAACAATGAACACAGCTGCAATTTTTCCATAAAGGAAATATTCCTAGTTTGAGGTTGGTAAAAACGTAATGTAAAAATTGTGTAGTAAACTACAATTTCACAGTGCAATCCTTGTATTAAGGGTATACTTTATAAAAAAAAAGTTCTACTCTTTTGTAATAAAAATAACCGGCATATAAGCAATTTTTCCTTATCTGCAAGCACAACAAAATGTTATATCCCTAAAATATTCCCTATACAGAAACTTCAAGTTAAAATTTCTGCCAAATCCTGACAATAAAGCAGCTTCTCCTGTCACAGTTTCTGTTCATAGCTTTACAAATTTTCCTTCCTTTTTTTATTAAACTTTTACTAAACAATAGTAAAAGTTGTCAAACTATAGAATCCTAGCTATTACAATTGTATTGCATCTGGAGTTTATCAGCATTTGGGAAATAGCTGTCTGCAAACCAACAAATGTCAATTACTGTATGGACTATGACAAGGGTGTGCATTATCACCCTATTTAATATATTCTAAAGCTTTAAAAAAATGTCAATAAAGTAGACAAATTAGTGGCAAAATAAACTTACCATGTCCAGATAATTTACTAACAAATAGCAACTATTGTTTACAAATGTACTCAGTTAGGTTAACTGAATAAAAGTAATTCAAAAATATAGTTATTCAGCAAAAATTAAATCCATGAACCAATTGTAAGAAAGTAAGTACAGAAAGTGGAGCAGTACAAATACTTGGGCTCTGTTTTAATGACAGATGGAACTGAAGCATGGACATAAAGGGTAGGATTGAAGAGGCAAAAGTAACTTTTGGAAAAATAATATATTTATTCCTAGCTTTCAGATTAGTACTTTATATGCTGTTATGTTTTACATGTTTTTTTAAAAAAGAAACATGTAAAATAATACTTACAAAAGGACAGATTGCTTAGGTCCACACAGACTATTACGATATATTATGACATTCTAAACTCTTGGGAAGTACTCCATGTTTATGAAGGTCAGCACCAGCTAAGGAACTGGCAGCTGTGATTTTAGTTTTTTGTTTATATAATTATGTTACTTATATATTGCTTGACCCTCAGTAATTATTGGCGATTAAATAACAATCAGAATAGAAGGGTCTGAAATAAGGATTTAGAAAGATACTTAAAATATCATGGGTTGAATCTATACAAAATAAGAAAGTCCTCCAGAGAATGGGCAAAGATAGGGAAAAAGTGAATTTCATTCAAAAAAGAACTTGGAATATCTAGGACCCTAGGGCAGGGGTGTCAAACTCACAGCGTCACGTGACGTGTTGCAACATATCGCGACTTTTTTCCATTGCCAGCAATGGGGTGGGTGCAGTTTCGGCATGACGCATCCGGTCTATGGGCTGGTAGTTTGACACCCCTACCCTAGGGTAATGATAAATAGCCACCTTAATTATATGAAGAAAGATTCAAGGGGTTGTCAAAAATATATTGTTTCAAAGAATAAATAGCATTGATTACAGCCAGCCTTTAGAGAATACACCACTAAATGAAGTAATTTATCATAAGCAATCTGTTTCTAAATTACCCAAATATTCATAAACTTAAATAAGTACCACAAGCTGGGATGGTAATCAAAAGAATGTGATCAAAAGAATGAAGAGTGCTTGATTTAAACTTCTCTCATCTGAATAATTTCCACTGGTAAATATTTGATGTGTTTCAGGAACATACTCAGCTTTCTTTTCAAGGTCAATTTTAAATTTTAAAAACAAGCATAGACCATGTACATGCCTTCACCGTAGATTATGCTACCTACAATTGACAAAAGTTAATCGACATCAGTAGCCACTGCCAGCCATGCTTGTCCTAACATAAGTCTTTTTATAAAGTGCTGGCATAGCATTAAAGACTCTTTTCCATATAGAAGAAGAATGAGCATTAATCTGCTCAGTCATAACCATTTAAATTACTACCTTCCTGTTTCACAGAAGGATTAGTTTTAAAATCAACCTGTAATTCTATTACTGTGTACAAATCTAACTGCCCACTTTGCAGCAATATGAAAATACAGTTTCTCTCTTTCCAAAGGTTTATTTCTAGGAGAATTAAGGCATTTCAGCATTTGAATTCATACATTCTAGAATGTCAAGTTAATGTCTGCATAGAGAACAGTGATATGAAAATATAGTTTAAAAAGTGCATCTGCATTGAAAACATATGAACCCATAATGGCACACTGACATTGAAAGTGTCCATGCCATTAGCAGTGGTCATATCCTGAAACCTGGGGAACCAGCACAGGCTTTGGAGATCTAAATCATTTAAGGAGAAATGCAATAATGCCTTCTACAATTTCATCCTATTTCTAGTTTCAGGAAGGAATGGGGAAAAAAGTGACTGAGTACTGTACAAGATTACCTTAGAAATTTCAAAAATCTGTTACCGAGACAGATTTTTCCTCACTGTTCAGAATTCCTTTATCACAGCCAATTCAGTTTTTCTACATACGGTCTGCCATTTTATATTCAATCCAAACTCAATCAAAGCTTTTGCAACCTTGCAGCAATTACATTACAAAGAAAAAAAGAGTCTCCATGATTGTAGTGTTTGAAAAAATGTTTCTGCCACAAATTACAGAAATGAATGCTGGCAGACACTTTCCTGACTGCAGCTGCTAGCAGGAACCCGATCCAGAATTGCAGGATACAAAAACATTTTCGCCACACCCTTACTGGCTTGTTTTCCTCAGAGAGCTTTCCTGCCACGAGAAAATCTGACTTCCAGTTGTGAAAAGCATCTTCACCTGAACAGGTTATAAAGACCTGCTGAAAACTCACCCTGCAGCAGCTTTCTCTGATCTACAAACTTAGTCCTCATCTTCCACTTATTTGGCCTTCACTGTGTGATGCAGTTATCACCCACATCTTGAGCGTATCTGTCTGAGATAGCAGTCCGCAAATCTTCAATCTCTTTGTGCAACTGTTTTACATCCTCCAGCTTCTTTGCTAGCGTGTCTGGTTTCAACAAATCTGTTTCTTGTTGAACAGAACAATGTACAGCTGTGAAATCAGAGAAATGTTCTCAGATTAATTACAGTAATTTTCCAATGAAAAATCAGCATTGGGATTTGGCATCTAATCCCTATAACAGCTATGAAGTTGGTTCCCCCCCCCTTTTTTTAAAAATGCAGTTTTTAAAACTGTTATTAATGATCATGGGGACCACCTCCAAGTAGTTCGGAGTTAGGTGGATAGTGCAGAATACCACAAATGTAACTATTACATCACAATCTTGCAACACTACACAAGGGAAAAATCTACAGAGAAGCAATCATGCTTAAAGTGGAGGAAAGAGTTAAAAGATTTTATCAGTTAGATTTTACCTAACTTCCGTAAGGTGCTATTAAAGAACATCAATTGGCAATGTAGGACATATGGGTGTCTATATGGAGGGCAAGAACAGCAAGTGAGAAAATGTATATGATGACATAATCATGCAAGTGCCGTGACTTAAGAGATTTGAGTCAGATTATCAGGACCCAAGTAAATCATGGGAGAAACTGCACAAGGGTGTCACTGGGTAGGTGGTGTCATGGTTTGCTGTGGACACCATGCTGAGAAAGCTACAAGGGTATTACAATCCCAAAGTATTACAAACATAACCTCTCACTATGGACATAAGCTCCTATGACTTACTGTGAATGCCTAACAGCAACGACAAATTGGGATCTTTCCCTTGAGCCCGCTGAGTAACCACACTGTAGACGGAGTGCAAGTCCTGTAGGCAGCTGGCTAGTTCACTATGCAGCTCTTGGGTCAGGCTGGCTGTTTCAGTTGACAGCAGCTGGCCCAGATCCATCTGCCGGAGATGCTCCTGGAAAGTCAGGTTTTTTTCCATCAGTTCTTGGTTCTGGGCAGACAGCTGAAATTAGATGTAAAAAATTCAGGGTTTTCAAAAATGATTCCTAGTTCTTCACTAGTTGTGATTCCACAGCCTGTTTGGGAACTTGGACATCAGAAAGTACATCTGTATCTTTTCCCTTTAGTTCTGAGATCGCTCTTTAGCATAGTATAGGCTAACCATCACACTTCTGGGAGAATGAAAAGTTACATTTGCAGGAATGGGATATTTGGTTTTTACAAGGCAGGAAAAACACAGAGAAAATAGTGGTCTTACAAAGAAAAGTGGAAATTATTGTAAGTATTCTGACAGGAGACATTCCTTGCTGCACAGAACAGAACTTGCAATTTGGAGACAGTTTAATTTGTCCTCTTTTCCCCACCCCAAGAAGCAAATGCAATCTATTTTTGATGAACAGAAGAGTAAATGAGGTCAAAGATACAAAAAATAAAATAAAATTCTTATAATAGGAAAGTTAATCTAGCATACTTTTAATAATGCTCCTTAGATACATTTGAGGGAAGAGGGAATTGGTAGATTGTCCTAGCTTACAAAATGTAGGAGAATGAAGGAGTTACAGCTGCTTTGCATATATTCTATGGATCTTTGTGATTGATTTATGTTTCACTTATTCAGATGGTTTTGGCACCAGACAGATGTTTGCAGTCCAACCCTTTGGCTCCCCCAAACTATATAGAGCAGCAGGAAAAAGCAAAATGTGGATTGTGCTGCTTCATCCACTATCCAACGTCTGCTGGATTCAGCTGGAGAACCACATCTCCAGGAGATCAAAGAATCTCCACCCAGCTTTCTTTTACTATGTTGTTTCTATTATCAAAGAAGAAAATCTAGCAGCAAGATGGCACTAGATGTAAATCACATCTCATGACGATAACAAAATTGTGGAAACAAGCCTTAGCACTGATAGTTTATGTGCTGGTCAAAAGACTTTGAATCATGTGACTAAATGCACTCTCCAAGTCTTTATGTAATCCTTCTAAACTGTGTTCCTTTTTACTCTGAAGTGACAGAAACGATTTTAACACACAGAGAGAAATAACATTCTTGTTACCTTAATTCTGTTTTAATTAAATTTAAATCAAATGGAGTTTTTCCTCTTTGCTTTACTTTCTTTTCATAGTATGGTCCCTAATATCCTACTCAAAGGCAAAGCGCAGGCATTAATTTGAGAAAAGATTATGCACTTCTAACTAATTAGGAGGGAAAGTTCAAATTGGGCTACAGATTTGAACTGAGGGAAAAATCAGATAGATAAGGACACACTATGCAAAAAGAAAAACTACAGTGGTAAACTAGTGTGAAGAATCAGACAATCTGATTATTGCAATTGTTAAACTGCCAACATTTTTTTTTTAAAAAAAGCTACCTCTTTCACAGCTCTGTGTAACTGCTGCAATGCATTTTCCTGCTTCAAGGTGTCTGCTCTCAGAGCCTGTGCTGTGCCATCTTCCTGGGCAATCTGTTCCTCCAGATCCTGGAACACAAAATGAGGACAAATTGAGATTATGTTACTGGTTCCGTTTTGTTTCAATTAGAAGTTCACCTTTAGTGCTTCAATAAGAAGCTCACCTTTATTTGTGAAGATAAATGATCCAGTTTCTTCTTCTGATTTTCCACAATCTAAAAAGAATTAAAATGATCAAATGTTCCCATGCATCTTCCAGCAGATGTTCCTACTGTTGAAGGAATGTGCTCACCAGCATTTGTACATTTGTGCATGATCTAGCCTAAAGAACTTGAAAAGTTTTACTCATGAGGACCATCCCACATATGCTAAGTAGCGTAACTGATGGGTTCTTTCAGAGAAGATACTTTACTGCAAATCTGACCTATCCCATAAAATGCAGCCTTAGTTTAAAATCATATTTGCAGGAAAAACTAAACTGCCAAACGTTTGTATTCATCTAGAAAACAGATATAAACAATATTTATCGAAAGAGAAAGAACAAAACCCACATCAAATCTACATAATGCCTAGCTTTATATTATTCTCCTAAAAATGTTCACCTCTCCAATAAATGTACATCATATGTGAATGCATATATATGTATCTGTATAAACATCCAGCAGAAGCTACACTAAAAAGGCAATGGAATAATAATTGAATTATTATTAAGATTAAGATTAAAATCAGGTTTTCTATAAAATTAATCCTTTGTGTTTAAATAGCAACAAAAAGACATATAGATATGCAGCAAGGAAAAGCAGTGGTGCGCTGAGGAAGGGAAGGGAAATTGGGTGAAGATGAGATAAAGAGAAGACCACCAGGAAACAGAGAAAAATCCTATTTATGGTTTTTTAAAAGGGTTAAAATAAACTAGACCAGCGGTTCTCAACCTGTGGGTCGGGACCCCATTTGGGGTCGAACGACCATTTCATGGGGGTCGCCAAACAACACAGTCCGCCATTTTTTCCCCCTTTTCCTTAGCTGTGCTACTCCCTTTTATTCTATTCGCTTTTGAAAGCCAATAGAATAGACTCTCTTGAATAGAGTCTAATTCTATTGGCTTTCAAAAGCCAATAGGAATTGTCCAAGCTGTCTCTGCCCTGCTGAGCCCGCCAAAAGTCCCATTCTGCAAATGGTGCTGCATACTGGTTAATCTTCAAAGACAATGTGGAACCCAGGTATGCTTATTTTAAGTGAACGTGAGTATACATTTTGATCCTTTATGATATAAAACTTTGAATGGACCAAATACATCCCAGCCTGATCAATGAGTGTAATACAGAATATCGCTATAAAGAAGTGATCATAAAGAAGAAATGTTGGTCTTCTACTCAATCAGAGTAGATGCCCACCTAAGAGCTGCAATCTCATCTTTGGAGTTACCTTCCTGAGAAGATCACGCTCTTTGCGAAGAGCATCTTTCTCTTCTTTCTCTCTCTCTATCTCTCGGGCATAATCTTCTGGTACTGAGGGCTTCATCTGCTGCATTTTGTCTTGTAAGCTGAGAAACAGGAAGTTTTCATTAAAGGAAATGAACTTTATAAGCTCGTCCTTTGAACGGGAGTTTCATAATTATGTCTCTAAAACAAATCAAAAACACTGCTCCATTCCAAAAACATACGCCAATACAAAGACACCCCAACGATTAAAGAGACTTTTCGGTCCTGATTCTCTGTATGTTGAAGTTTCATATCTGTGAGAAATCGTCCAAAAGCTAACATTGCCTTAAAGCTATGCCCATCCATTCTCACAATCAAGCCTAAGCAACAAGGCAGGCCCTCTTACCAGTGTTACCGAATTCCCACTCTATTCAAGGAAAAGCATGGTGGAAGCAGGCAATAAAGATGCCATCAAAGCTTGATCCAGTTTGGTTGCTCCCCCCACCCCAAGCCAAATGCCCTGAGGCTGATTTTTGTAAGATGCCTGAGAAAGAAATGAGTCCTAAAAGGTGTAATAAATGCAGTATCTTCCAAGGAGGGGCACCCAGTTGAGGGAAAAGCATGTGCTGGAAGGAGAGATAAACACAAACCCCTCCCAAAAGAATTATCCTTCCCCAGAGAAAGAACTCATATATAATACAGGTAGTTCTTGACTTATGATCATAATGGAGTCTAAAATTTCTGTTGTTAAGTGAAACATTTGTTAAATGAATGTTGCCCCATTTTACAACTCTTCTTGCCAGTTTTTCAATGAATCACTACAGCTGGTAAGTTAATAATAAGGTTGTTAAGTGAATCTGGTTTCCCCATTAACTTTTCCTATCAGGTGATTATATAAGGACACTGCAACTGTCACAAATATCAGTCAGTTGCCAAGTGTCTGAATTTTGATCATGTGACCACGGTGGTACTACAATGGTCATAAGTGGTTGTAAGTGTGAAAAACTGCCATAGGTCACTTTTTTCAGTGCCATTGTAACTTTGAACTGTCACTAAATGAACAGTTGTAAGTCAAGGACTACCTGTAATATCTTCTGGGACTGCTACTCCCAGGATCTTTTCTGAGTCCAAAGCCCCCACACTTTTGACTGTATAGTCATTTTCTGCCTTCTTCTTCTGGGGAGAGGAATCCATGCAAAGTAGGACAAATTATGAAATAAAGTGTCATGCCAAAACAATGCCCGTTTTGTACATAGGCCATGATGACACACACCTTATAAAAAAGATGGGAATTGTGCCATGCCATTCCCTTCGTCATTTTGATAAATCTGATGGGTTCTGTGAATGCCTCTGTCCAAGGACTATTCACAATAGATTCATAAGGCATATATTGCTTGTCACAATTGGCATTTAAGGCTCTTTTCTCCTCTCAGTACAATTCCCACCACAAGAATTGGGATTGAAAGGAGCCATTTGGCCCTCTTAGTGCAGGAATCCCCATTAACAGATGAGGTGTCTAGGCTCTGCTTGCATAGATCCAATGAAATGGAGACAGCTTATCTCTCTGGATAAGCAGTTCCACAGTTTAACAGCAACTACCATTAACAAACTTTTCTAAAATTCCAATGAATCTGCTTTCCCGTAACTTAAAAACCATCATTCCATATCCTACACTCTGGAATGAGAGAAAACAGCTCTTGATCTGCTTCCAAGCGAAGGAGTTTAAAGAATGCTACCACATCTTCTCTCATCGTTTTTCCCTTAAGGCTAAACATACTTCAGTCACTCTTCTTCATAGGATATTCTCCTGTCAGGAACCTCACTCTTCTTATTCCCACCTCTTTCCCTGTTACTTAGTCTCTCCTATATGGACCTGCTGTGCTTATTTGTAGGAAAGCTTTATTGACAAGCAGCACAATGTACTTCTAGATCAGTGGTTCTCAACCTGTGGGTCGGGACCCCATTTGGGGTCGAACGACCATTTCACGGGGGTCGCCAAACAACACAGTCCGCCATTTTTTCCCCCTTTTCCTTAGCTGTGCTACTCCCTTTTATTCTATTGGCTTTTGAACGCCAATAGAATAGACTCTCTTGAATAGAGTCTCATTCTATTGGCTTTCAAAAGCCAATAGGAATTGTCCAGGCTGTCTCTGCCCTGCTGAGCCCGCCAAAAGTCCCATTCTGCAAACGGCGCTGCACCAGTTGAGTAGTCCTCAACTTACGACCGGTTGAGTAGTCCTCGACTTACGACCGGTTGGGGGTCGCGGCATTAAAAAGGTTGAGAACCACTGTTCTAGATTATCCTGGAAGCCAACGCTCGTTTCCCCCCCACTTTCCTGGTGTTACCTGTGCACTGTGGAAAGCAGTTCCATTTCTTTGTGTTTTTGCACTTCTAGCTGTAACTCCTTCTCTCGACAGTCAATGCGGACATCTCTTAGTTCCCTTTCAAGAGTAGTCACTGTTTCTTTCAAAGTGCTAACTGTCTGCTGAGATTCTTTTAACTAAAATATTGGGGGAGAGGGGGAGAGAATACACATATATCAAACTTAAAAGGAACTCCTTCTAGCAATTGGTCTATTCACAAAGCTAACACGTTTATTCTGTTCAAGCTTGCAGGTCTACGCTATCCAGCTACTCTTCAAAGCCAGCTGCATGCAGAAGGTGCCCACTTACCTGTTGACTTTGTTTTCGATGATCCTCCAATACTGGGAAGTCAGCAATATAGCGTTCCAGAGTCTCAATTCTCTGCTGCTTCTCATGCTTTTGGTCCAATTCTTTTTGGCATTTCTTTTTCAGATACTCAATGTGCTTGTCTCTGGACTTGACCTGCAGGATAGAATATCAGAGGTAGGTTGCAGCCCTTTCTATTATTAATTTCAGATGCAAAAAGGCATTGCCCATAACTCAAAACTATTAAAGTACCTAACAGACCATTATGTAGAACAAAAGGAAGTGAACCCCTACGTTAAAAAAACATACTTTGCAGAAACATAGTCATGGAACTCACTCTACATTTTACATTACATAAAGAGCAGAGATTTAGCTTTCTGCTAAAAACCTGAAGCATTGTAATACTCCAGTCTAACCTTAGTGCAATCATATTGGGAAAATGTTAATGCTTTACCTTTTGCTCCTTTCTTTTATTAGCTCCTAAAAAATATTTCCCATAGCAGTTCTCTGTTATACAATAGGATGTGAAATGAATCAAAGCTTGAAGTGTGAATATTAGAAGAATCAAATATTACAACAAAAAATTGCATTCCCATGTAAATAAGCAGATAGTGGGAGACCTGTTGGGGCTTCATCCCCAAAAGCCTACCCTTTCTTCTTGTTTCTTCAATTCTATTGTATGCTTCTGTATGGTCTCTTTGTGATCCCCCTGGATCTGTTTAATACCAGCTTCTGAGGCAGCCAGTTTCCTTTCCAATTCAATCTTTTCCTTATTGAGTGATTCTGTTTTTTCAGTAAACTGAGCCCGTAAAAATGTATTCTCCCTCTGTAACTCCTGCAAAAGATATTAAATGAAACAGTAACAGCCAAAACATCTTCTAAAATCCATACTCATAATCACTGAGGAACTGTTCAAACAACTTTGAATGTGAATTCAATAAATACTGGGGACAAGAAGAGAAACACATCCATAGTTGATGGACAAACAAAATATCGGATTTTCCTGTATGCTCACCAGAAAATCAAGCAGGCTCCAATGCTTAGGGAATGAAGCACCTGTACACTGTTTTAGAAAAAAAGAGCACTCTATATCCCTGTCAGCAGATAACTTTATTTTACAAATTTTTAGCCAATATTGCAGGAATTAAAGAGCGGCATGGCGGCCTAGAGGTGAAGATGCTCGCCTCATACTTGGGAGGCTAAGAGTTCAATCCTAGGCAGTGGCAGATGTTTCTGTATCAAGGCACAAAGAGAAAATATCCACTGCAAACTCCGCATAAGTGTCAGGAAGGGCATCTGGCCAGTAAACCCTCAGCTCCATTCAGTCACCCTGACTCCACCCCAATAAAAGGGATTTTAAAAGAAAAAATAATCGCAGAAATTAAAGATTCCTAAGGGAGCAGCTATAGATCATGTCTCTTCTTCACTCATGCCTCCTCCAACCCCACATTTAATTTAAAATTCTTTTCCCAATAGCCTATTTCAAGCACCACCAGTTATAAGGGTTACCTGCATTCTGAACAGATACATATCTCCGTAAGGAGCAGGATGGCCATAGAGGGCACTGTGGACTTGCATTTCACTTTCTTGTAGTTTCTGCTCCAGCTGGGAAATGTGCTGTCTCTGCCTATGAGAATAAACCCGTGGAGTATGTTAATACTGACAAAATTGAAAGTCTAAAAAGGGAACATATGAGAGCTTTCAGTAAAATAGTTAAATAGCATTTATTTTTTCATATTTGTAGCTGAGAGCTGGAAATCAATACATGGATTCACAGAGTGATGTGTGGGGGAAAAGCTAACTGAGAAAGAGTTATCCACCTCCGTAATTCCTCTCGTAAGCCAATAAAAGCTAATTAAATGCACTCAAGAGAAATCACAACTTGCCCTAGAAGCAAAAGCTTTCTTATCCTAGTTAAAAGACAAGCTACATCTTAGTGTAACCAGAAGAAGCCATGCATGTCCTTTTTAATTAATAGAGAGAAGGAAGAAAACCTCTCTTAAAAATCCGTGTTCTTCCCCACTATGTCTTTGGCACAGCAAACACCAAAACTGTTTGGTGTTTGGGCAAAAATAGTCTTGAACCATTTAATTTCTTCCATGGAAACAAACAGCATAAGTTTAGCCACTCATAAGTAAGTTAAGACTATTCAGTGAAGTTTATTGTGCCTAGGATTACAATGTTTCCTTTTCTATCAATATGAAAAACATTGTTACTTTTTAGTGAAAAAAAAATCTAGAAAGTAAACTAACGTTTAATTTCCTACCTGTCAATGAGAATTTCTTTCTCCAGGAGCAAATTTTCATTTGTGTTGGCAATGCCAATCCACTGAGCTGGATCAAGTGTGTGCAGTGAAGTACTGTTCACCAAAGGATAGTAACAAGTAGCTTTATTCTGCAGCTGGAATTATGACGTTCAGAGACAAGACATGGGATTCAATTCTCAAAGAGAAAGTCAGTGTTAGATTTTGGGGGGGGGAGGGGAAAGGAAGGTTGTGTTTATATATCTATACCTATCTATACCTATACCTTTACCTCTATCTATCTATCTATCTATCTATCTATCTATCTATCTATCTATCTATCTATCTATCTATCTATCTATCTATCTATCTATCTATCTATCTAAACCAAATAAGAAAGAAAAACGAACACCAGGATATAATAAACCAGACTGTTTAATATAAACAAGCCTGTAGTTAAAAAGAGTCACTAAGCTTTCGTCAGGCCAAACTACCGACGTCATCAGAGTTGGAGTAAAAGGAGATCAGGAAGGCAGCTCATATAACCTCCTGCCTCTGCGCCCGGCTCCTTGAGCGCGTCATTGGCCTGTTGATTGTATTAATCCGTACCGCGCAGAGTTGTTCCGCATCAGGCAAACTGTCCTTGGCTCCGCTAGTTGTTTTATGATCCTCAAGTGCTCTTTTAGAGCATGTGCAAGCACTTGGAGGGCGGCTGTCAACCGGTCCCTGCGCCCAGTCTCCCTCCCTCCCAGGGCCATTATATGAGCTGCCTTCCTGATCTCCTTTTACTCCAACTCTGATGACGTCGGTAGTTTGGCCTGACAAAAGCTTAGTGACTCTTTTTAACCACAGCCTTGTTTATATTAAACAGTCTGGTTTATTATATCCTGGTGTTCGTTTTTCTTTCTTATTTGGTTAACAATAATGCCCAGGATTCACATTTTTAGCATTTCACTATAAAGCACCAAACAATTACCTTGCATATCTAGAAAACAATGCATTTCTATGGCAGGGCTCCTTAAAACAAGTTAGTAAGTCACAACAGCAGCAACATTTAACTCAATAAAGCAATCCTGAACTCATTTGAACTACATCTAATTCTCAATAGTTTGGTTCTGGCTTATTAATGTTGCATTTGGGTTGACATAAATAATATCATTAATATGGCTCTGGATTGATCACTGGATTTTACAGGTGAATGTTCCTCTGAGCTGAATCTATACATGAAATTGGCTAAAATAATTACTGTACAACACTGTAAAAGAAATCTATATCCAATTTGCAGTGATGCTCTCTTGATACTATTTTGTTTGTCAACATTTGAAGTGATTTTTTTTTCAACCAAAGGACAAGGAAAAAAACTTTCCAGCAATGTCATAATAGTTTTGGGAGTTATTTATCACAATTTTAATTTCTAGTCCATTCCCAATTTTTCTTTAAATTGTTATACTTATCAATTTTGAGACTGCATTTTTTTAATTTGGTAGTATATACTTGTATTTTTCTTTTGTTGATTCGTGTTTAATATTATATTGCCCATACTTATTACCTGCAGCCTCTCCTTGAAAATGTGCCATGCCACCACTTTTCAAAAGCCTACGAAGCTAACTCTACAGCATAGTAGTACTGTAACAGCCATTAAGTCCTCGTTTTCTTTCCTAAAGGTTTGATTCTGCAATAAAAGCACTTAGGGGATTATTTCTCCAGAGCATAATACTAAAATATTAGGCTTTTCAATTAAGATACTTCTAAGGATTTTCCTCCATTAGCATTTGCTCCCTTTGAATTATATGCAACAGCATTAGCTCTGGTCTACATACTCATGAGCCCTGGCAGAAAAGTTACAAGAAGAAAAGCTACACATGCAGACAGAGGTTAAAATAACTTACATGCATCTGTTCAAGTTGCAGTCGAGCATAATCCAGATGTTTCCAGGCACTCTGTGCACAATTCTCAAGTGGATGTAGTGTACAAGCTTCCTGCTTTGAGGTCTGAGACTGAGCAGCCAAAGGGCTGGAATACATACTAGGAGCATTAAGTCCCAAGGATACTTGCTTTCCACAGACTCTGTTGGAATCTGTTGAAGATTTAGTATTCTGCAGTATTTTATTGGATTCTTTTTCTAGGCCAGCAACAGTGCTGTTTGAAGTGCCTGGAGTGTACATCTGGAGCTGGGACCAAGGACCAAGAGAATGCCTATCTAGAAAAGCAGAATGGGTGACTTCAGCATCTAGGCTGATAGGTTTCTGAATACATTCCACACCTGACTGACCAGAACTACGAAACAAGGACTGATTGCAACCATTTTCTGCTGAAGTCTGATTCAGACAAAGAGAATTCCAGTTGATCACCTGGGATTGCCTCAGAGTATCAGAGTCATAGCTGGACATTAGTCCTCCAGTGTCACCCAGTGAATTTGGCAGGGAGGAAGCCAAAGTGGTCTGAGGAGTGCTTGATTCACTTGCTAGACAAGGTGATCTGTCCAATGTGGAGGGCATGACATGAGCTGTAGGAATGGCCACCTGGGTTTTGATGGGTTGAAATGAAGAACCATAGTTGAGATTGCTAGATGCTAGAAAAGAAAAGAAACAATCCGGGAATTAAAAACAAAACTTTATAGATCAGCTGATAATTCATTTACCCTGGCTTTTGTATACATCGAGTATGTAGAAAATTGCTCAGAATAGATAATTACTGCTCATAGTAATTATAATAATGATAGTTAGCTTTCTTAATGTAGAGAGTGTTATGACTAATAATAAAATCTAGATGAAAGGCAATCAGATTAAGCCTTTAAAATTAAATGAGACTTGGTAATCATGTAGCATTCTAGTTACTCATAAAACACAAATTAAAGCTTTAGAAAATGTCAAAACTTACTTAGGAATCAGGAACTGAGATCTTAATTATATTCCCATCCACTGAATTGAAATCCTCATTTGTTTCAAATATATAAAGGAACAGGCTGCTATGCCAAGGAAGCAGTTAACTAGTTACTGTTATGAAAATGCAGTAAATGGTTCTATGTTGGCATCAGGCTCTTCTGAAAACAAGTGTATGTTTTTGTCAATCATTATATGGGATAAGGAGGAACTGACTGCTGAAAATACTGACATGGAAATACCAGAGCTAACTAAATAGACGTATGAACCTATTCTTAGTAACTCTCAGATTTCAATACAGGAAAAACAACAGCAGCTATGCTAAACTGCAAGGAGCGTGGTGTTCTCACAGTATTTCCCTCTCACGAGGTTCACCATATGAATGTCAAATGTATATATAACACCAAATAAGATTATTAAGAATGCAAGTTGATTGTGAAGTTAACTTCAGATAAACTGCTAAAATCCATTTTAAAAATGTGAGAAAAATGGATTGATCAAAAATTTGTCCAAGAAGGCAATGCAGAAAAGTAGCTTAGTGCTCTTTACATTTTAGTTAGAGAAAGCCACTTTGATCTAGTAGTTAAGATACTGGACTAAGAACATGGAAATCTGACTTTTATTCCTGCCACACAAGCCAAGTGGGTGATCTTGGATTAGTCATTCCCCTTCAGCCCCGGGAAGAAGGCAATGGCAAACCATTTCTGGGGAAAAAAATTGTCAAGAAAACTGCATGAACTTGTCTGTGTCAATTCCAGGAGTCAATTCTAATTTGAAAGGAAAAACAAGCAAAATGGGGGGGGGGGCAAAACGCTAAATAATGCTTCCTAGGAAGAATATCCCTGGCACTAAGTAGTACTTGCTCCTTAATGTCTAATAGGTGTCTAATAGTATTTGGAGAAAGGTATCCAAATATTTAAAAAACCAAAAACTGTCAAGTTAGCACATGCAGAAGGAGACAATGCTTTAGAGACTTAGTTGTACACATGAAATTAAACTGCCTTTCAGATCTCCATGCCTTAATAATATATGGAGGAGACAGAATTGTGAGGATGAATCTCCGAATGTGATCCACCTAACTCAGACATGTCAAACACACGGCCCGGGGGCCGGATGCGGAGTGGTTTCATGTGGCCTGCAAAGCCATCCTGGAAACAGTGAGGGAATGGCCCCCGCTGCCTTGGCCCTGGCCCAGGCCGGCTGGGAGCCAAGGTACAATTTTATGGTAGCCATCTACGGTAAAACGCATTCAGTCTTAGCTCCACATGGCCATCCCGAAACAGCTCCTGCCACGTTGGCCCCACCACCTGGGTGCATGCTGGGGAGGTGTCACCCTTTGTGAGGAATGAAGAAATGCACCATCACCTGGAAGTGGCCAGCAAATGGCCCTCGCCTACTTCACATATCCGGCTTGATGGGCTCCGGGGAAGAGTTTTGGCAGGCTCTTCCAGTGGACCATGCCTTGGCGCTTGCCCTGGTCCCACCCCCCTTCTGCCAGAGACCCTCAGATCTGTCCCACTCCTGCCCAGGCCCCCACAGGCACCCTTGACGCGAACAATGTAGAGCTGGCCACGCCCATCCAGTAGGCCACACCCACTTCATCCACACCCACCCAGTAAGATGCACCACCCTGGCTACACCTACCCAGCCCCCCCCCCCCCCGAGGGCAACCCCAATGCTGATGCGGCCCTCAATGAAATTGAGTTTGACACCCTGGACCTAACTGATCAGACTAATTTGTAGTAACCTGTACAAACTGTTGGGGCTGTTTTTCAATTTATAGGTCCTCACTGAGTGCATCATTTATCTCAGGATTTTTACAATTCCATCCAATAAGGGAAGTATTTATCTCAGGATTTTTACAATTCCATCCAATAAGGGGAGTAAAATAAAAGGATTCTAAGAATTCAGGGATTAAAGTGAAATTTTACCATCGTTATTGCTTGATGAGGGAACTCCAATAAATGTTCCTCCAGAGGCAGCCATTCTTGATTTGTGATAAAAGGTTCTCTCTAGAACCATAGATTGATCTGGAATTTTCAGATTGGTACCTAGGGAGTTGAATGTAAGAGTAACAATATAACACTTGGATAAATATAAAAAGCTAACGAAGCTTAGTTCTACAGTGTTATATTAATTATCACATGCTGTGATACCTAGCCACTGAATAATTCACGTTTCACAATACATGCTTGTTATTTGGAGTATCTTCTATGGCCCCAGAAAAAGTTGTGGGGTTGGTGGGGTGGGAAAACCAGAGCAATAAGATGATTGTGGGGAGAATAACTATAAGGATTTGGTTTGTGAAAGAAAAATAATACACATACGTATTGCCATTTTTTAGCTCTTTGTATATGTTTAATTTTGTGCTCCAGCCAGAGTTTACTGGAATTGGATGGCCTATACATTTAAATACGATAAAATAAATACAGGTAGACCTCAACTTACAACTATTCATTTAGTGACCATTCAAAGTAACAATGGCCCTGAACAAAATGGCTTATGACCATTTTTCACACTTACAACTGTTGCAGCATCCCCACAGTGACATGATCAAAATTCAGACGCTTGGCAACTGGCATGTACTTATGACAGTTGCGGTGTCCCGGGCTCATGTGATCACCTTTTGTGACCTTCTGAGGAGCAAAAATCAATGGGGAAGCCAGATTCACTTAACAACCCGGTAACTAACTTAACATCAGCAGTTATTCAGTTAACAACTGTAGCAAGAAAGATCATAAAATGGGGCAAAACTCACTTAACAACTGTCTCCTTTAACCATAGAAATGTTGGGCTTAATTGTGGTCATAAGTATAAATCAGGGGTTTTCAAACTTGGCCTTTTAATGACGGGTGGACTTCAACTCCCAGAATCCCTCAGCCAGGCACGCTGGCTGAGGAATTCTGGGATTTGAAGTCCACACGTCATATAAAAAGGCCAAGTTTGAAGACCCCTGGACTTCAACTCCCAGAATTCCTCAACTAGGTACGCTGACTGAGGAATTCTGGGAGTTGAAGTCCACACGTCATAAAAGAGCCAAGTTTGAAGACCCCTGGTATAAATCATTCGTTCCTGTCATTGTTATACCAGGAGTAGCTCTCCAACAAGCTTGATGGCCCAAAGTTGGGGGCAGACTACGCGTGTGTGTGTGTGTGTGTGTGTGTGGTGTCTGTGTGTGTTGTGTGCTTTCCCAAGGCAACCTGTTGCGTTGGGGAGAAGAGGACCCCCTTCTAGCACCAGCTCTGCGCATGCTCCAAACTAAGCAGCTTTCCCCAACCTGGAGCCCTTTTGACCCATCAGACATCAACTCCCGTCACCTCCCGCCTGAAAGTCCAAGCTAGGAAAGATGGGCATTGTAGTTCGCGCCGCCCCCCCCCCCAAGAAAAAAAATATGGATGTCAATTCCAGAAGCACTGAGGGGAGGAAAATGAGAAACTCTTCAGGGCTGCAATTTTTAAACCAGAAGGAGAAGATAATTTTTGATTATTACCTCCGAGGGACCCTCGCGCCTCCACTCAAGAGAACTTTAAAAGGAGACTAACCACCACCACCACCAGCGAAATACAGCACGGCTTTAAGCCTGCTCGGACCCGTAGCCACCGCGCGTGCGCGGCACCCGTTGCCAGCAGGAGGTTACGACATCCCTGGCGCGCGAGGGCCATTAACAGCTCGCGGCGTCCGGCCCGCTATCTCTTTATTGGCCTTCAGCTTCAGATTAGAACTGGCTGTGATCGTCCAATGGAAACTCTCTTCAGTCATTAGCCCCGCCCCCCCGCCCCAATTCAAATTGAGAGCGGAAGAAAATTGTTCCCTGCCGCTGGCCGTAGGAAGACTGTAAGCCCTGTAAGAACCGGCCGAAGTTGTTTAGGTCAGGGCTCCCCAACCTTAGCAACTTTAAGACCTGTGGACTTCAACTCCCAGAATTCTCCAGCCAGCATGGCTGGTTGGGGAATTCTGGAAGTTGAAGTCCACAGGTCTTAAAGTTGCCAAGGTTGAGGACCCCTGGTTTAGGTGGTGATGCTGCTCTCTTAGGGCAGGGTGGGATGGTACGTATGACGGAGAGCCTGTTGCTTGATGAATGTCGCTCTCGTCTGTCAGCGTCATCAATTTTTTGCTGGACAAAAGGCAGAACAGCTAAATCTTTTTTTTTTTTAATTATAGGAGGTTCAAATGCACAAGTTAAAAAAGGGCAGTGGGGTGACAAAGACACGCATAAGAGGGTTTTTGGGGTGGAAGGAGGTCTACAGATGAGTGATTCCATTAATCTGAATTATTAGGCTTTTATTCTGCCTGTCTATAGAATAAAATAGAAAAAAAACTTTATTTTACCTTTAAATGTACATTAATCATCATGCATTAAAATGAAATTTCGTTGCATTCAGCTGTCAAAAAATATGCATATACACATACACACATGTGACACAGAAACATCACAGTCTAGTCTGAATGTATAAATATACATGGGGGGGGGGGAGATCTTGTGAATTTACAAAATGGATGGCATAAGGATCAAAGCTGTTACAGAATCTAGTAGACCTGCTAGAAATACTTTGAAACCTCCTCCCAGAGGGGAGCAACAGAAACAGACTGAGAAGTGGTTGTGTGGAGTGTCTAACAATGTTTCGAGCTCTAAGCACATAGTGCTTATAAGCAGTATCCTGAATAATGGGAAGTGAGCTTCCTATAATCTCAGCTGTCCTTACCATTCTCTGTATGGACTCTCTATCTGAGGCAGTATTGCTACCAAACCAAACATTGTTGCAGTTTGTTAAAACACTCTAAATCAGTGGTTCTCAACCTGTGGGTCAGGACCCCATTTGGGGTCGAACGACCATTTCACGGGGGTCGCCAAACAAGGCTGTCTGCCATTTTTCCCCCTTTTCTTTGGCCACGCCTCTGGCACCTGGTGATGTATAAGTGGTTGGGGGTCACCACAACATGGGGAACTGTATTATGGGGTCGCGGCATTAGAAAGGTTGAGAACCACTGCTCTAAATCATGCCTCTGTAAAAAGTGGCCATGACAGAAGGAGAAAGATGTGCTCTCCTCAACTGACACAAGAAATGCAAATGCTGGTTTGATAATGTATGAAGAGACTAAGTTAGATTGTTAGTTATCTGCACCTTCAGGTACTTAATACTATTGACCCCCTTCAAAGTGGAGTATGTGTAAGGACCCACCCCACTTTGCATCTTAACAAGACAGAACTCTTGGAATAATTCTTCCAACAGGAATCCTTTATTAAGAGAAAATGGTTGCAGGCATGCTAGACAGGACTTGGGGTCCAAGCTCTCCCATTCTAGGTTTTAAGGGGTTCCCCAGTAGTCCCACCCAATCAACCCCCCTTCCAGTGATAGTTTCAAGTATCACAATTCCACTCCCTTTCTTCTTTCTTCCGTCTGGATGGAGACTTCAGATAACTACATGAAAGGCAACTTCCCTCCTTTGGTATGTTAACACTTCAAGGTTACAATAAACACACATTCAGCATTCAGCTCTTTGAAGTGTAAAGAAGGAAGTGAGGGCCATAAAGCCCCTTTGTTCTCCCCTTCTCTCCCTCTTATGGCAGAATCCAGAGAAGGCAGAATTGGGAGTTTCTATATTTGATAATTTAAAGATGAAATATAATTGGATTCTGACATCCGGCCCCTCTTAACAATAAGAGAGATCCACCTGAAAGAAAACACAAGTATAAAATTTAGTCAGGCTTGTTAGGATACTCTGTGTGAAACTTCTTCAATAGCTTCGGGGCTCTGACATGACGTTTATGGACCCACTCATTTTGTGAGGCAGGGAGGTGTTTCCAGGCAACTAGGTACTGAGTTGTTCCATGATATCTCCTAGAGTCAAGGATCTCTTTTATTTCGAAGTGTTGTTCCCCCTCCACCATGATTGGAGGTGGTGGGGGGGGGGATTTTTGGCCGTAGAGGTGACTGATGCTCTCTTTTCAGCAAGCTGCAATGAAAAACTGGGTGTATTTGCCTGAGGTTTTTGGGTAATTCTAATTCTACTGTTACTGGATTTATGATCCTTTTAATTGGAAAAGGTCCTATATATTTTGGTCCAAGTTTTTTACAGGGCTGTAGGGACTTTAGGTATTTTGTAGATAAGTACACCATCTCTCCTATAATGAATGGTGTAGGATCAACCCTTTTTTTATCGGCTTGTGTTTTGTAAGCCTGCCTAGCTTCATCTAGTGCTTTTCTGACTATTGGCCAGGTGTTTTGTAATTTTTCCATCCATTCTTTCAGCGAGGGGATCGTTGGTTCATTTGGGGTTAATTCTGGCATGGGGTTGAAACTTTGACCGGTGGCTATTGGAAAAGGAGTGTAACCTTTGCTGGAGTGGACTGCATTATTGTAGGCAACTTCTGCAAAGGGGAGTAAGTCCGCCCACTCGGTCTGCTGGAAACTAAGAAAACATCTTCAATATTGCTTAAGTACTGAGTTCATTTTTTCAGCCCCCCCATTTCCTTGAGGGTGGTGGCTAGATGTCAGTCCCTGAGTGGTTCCTAAGAGGGATAAAAATTCCTTCCAAAATGCAGACGTAAATTGCACCCCCCTGTTAGAGATGATGCATTGGGGTGCCCCATGCAATCTGTAAATGTGTTGGATGAAAAGTTTTGCTAAGGCTTTTGCAGTGGGAATCTTTTGGCAAGGGATAAAGTGCACCTGTTTGGAAAACAAGTCCGTGACCGTCCAGACCACAGTATTCCCATTGCTTTCTGGCAATTCCACTATAAAATCCATGGCTATTTCTCTCCAGGTGGCTGAGGGACTTGCCACTGTTTGCAATAGTCCTGGCACTTTCCCTTGCAACCTCTTTGCCGTGGCACATTTTGGACAACTGGCTATATAACTTTCAATGTCCTTTTTCATGGATGGCCACCAAAATTGCCGTTTAATTAAATGTAAAGTTTTTACAAATCCAAAATGCCCTGCTGATTTTGTGTCATTGCAAAGGTGCATGAAAATTACTCTTTGAGTTGTTGGTATATATAACTTTTCCCCTATCCAAGGCAACCCGTCTCTCATTGTGCACACATTTTTATTTTTCTGGAACCAATCATCTGTTTCCAAACTTTTTCTGAATTCAATTACAGTTTGGCTGTCCAGTTGTGGTTTTAATTTGCTTGCGTTCTTTGTGGTTGTTTATGTTTTTTTTCGTGCGCTGTTATATTGGGGCATGCGAAATAGAGCATCTGCCAGGAAGTTCTTTCTTCCTGGTAAATGTTTGAGCTTAAATTGGAATTGGTGAAAATGCTGGGACCAGCGGGCTTGTTTGGGATTGAGTTTCCTGGAAGTTTTCAGGGCCTCCAAATTTTTGTGATCAGTCCACACCTGGAAGGGGATTTTGTTGCCTTCCAGGAACTGTCGCCATGTGAGTAATGCCCAACGTATCCCATAAGCCTCCTTCTCCCATACGGGCCAGCGCTGTTCTGTTTCCGTGAGTTTCTTGGATGTATATGCACAGCGTTGCAATACTGCATCATCATTTTCTTGTAATAGCACAGCCCCCACTGCCACATCACTTGCATCTGCCTGTATTATGAAGGGCTTGTCCATGTCTGGGTGCCTTAGTACTGGTTCGGCAGAAAAAAGTCTCTTTAGTCTCTCAAACGCTGATTGGCACTCCATTGTCCATGTTAGTGGCTGGCTAGGTTTTACTGAGGATGTTCCCTTCGTTTTTAGTAAGTTAGTGAGGGGCAAGGCTATCTGTGCAAAGGAGGGGATGAATTGGCGGTAAAAATTTGCAAAGCCCAGGAAACTTTGTAGTTGCTTTCTTGTGCGGGGTGGTGCCAATTCTAATACTGCTCTGACCTTCTCTGGGTCCATTTCAATGCCCTGTGGGGATATGCGATAGCCTAGGTAGTCTATCCTTTCCTGGTGGAATTCGCATTTTGAGAGTTTGGCATATAGGTGGGCGGCTCGCAGCTTCTTTAAAACCGCTCTGACAAGTTTGACGTGTTCTTCTTTTGTTTCGGTAAAGATAAGAATGTCGTCCAAGTAAACAAGGACCCCCTTAAACAGGTGCTCCCTTAAGAACGTCATTGATCATTGATTAATTGCATAAAGACTGCAGGGCCCCCTTGTAATCCAAATGGCAAGACTTTGAATTGATAGCACCCCATGGGGCAGTTAAATGCAGTCTTCCATTCGTCCCCTTCCTTGATTCTCACGCGATAGTAAGCTTCCCTTAAGTCTAGTTTAGAAAAAATTTTCCCTTTCGATAGGTGTGACAGCATGTCTTTCATGAGGGGCAGCGGGTATAGGTTGCTTTCACTGATTGTGTTCAGGGCCCTATAATCCACGCATAAACGTAAAGAGCCATCCTTCTTCTCTCTAAAAAGGACCGGGGCAGCCACTTTAGGCTTAGCTGGTTCAATGAAACCTCTCTCCAGGTTTTTTTTATAAATCTTTCCATTTCCTCCTTCTCCTTTGGGCTCATGGAGTATAATCTGGGTTTCGGGAGTTTTGCCCCAGGCTTGAATTCAATGGTACAGTCTGTGGGTCGGTGGGGGGAAGCTCATTCGCCCTCTCCTCACTGAAGACTTCAGCAAGGTCCCTATATTCCTCTGGTATTTCTGTTAATCTTTTTTCCTCTCCTA